CAGAAAAAGAAAATATTGTCTTCAATAATTTAATATTGCCCTTTCTCATATATACTTCTCTACTGGATATAGAAAATTGTTAATGTTGAGTATCACATCTTTTTTGAACTTTTATATAAATATTGTACTTTTTTTCTTATTATGTACAAATTTGCACATCAAAATGATAATTATTTGTTAGGAAGCCATTGTTTAAAATATCTTGTAGGAGCAACCAGAACACGAGGATAATTTCCTTCCTGAACCAAGCCTAACAACTTCGTCTTCCTTAGTACTTATTTGTCGATTCTCGTGTCTTCTCTAAAAATGGGTGAATATATATATATATATATTATCATCATCTGGTTCATACAATCAACAAAAAACTGTTCACTCACTTTAAGCTCAGATGCCAAGTAAAAGAATACGAAATCTATATTGGTATTTTCTTTGGCTGATGTTTCCACTACTTGTAACACTTCGGGAAGATACTGACGTAAAGCTTCAGCCTCTTCTTTCTCAACTTCTCGTAAATGTTCTAAATCACATCTGTTACCTGAAGTATTACATATGTAAATATACAGGGTAAGAATATATTTTGATTCGATGCAAAATAGAAAATCATCTTACCCACTAAAACTAACAACACGTGTGATGAAGTGTACCTTCGTACTTCTTCAACCCAATGTTGTAAACTTAAGAAAGTGGATCTTTTCGTAATGTCGTAGACTAAAATATGCACGTGTTATTAATCATATACATAGTACTAGAAAATTAAATTTTTATTAAATTTTTTTTATTAAATCAGCTGTTACATACCTACAATAACACCGTTGGCCGATCTGTAGTAACTCTGACGTATCGTACGAAATCTCTCTTGACCCGCTGTGTCCCATATTTGCAACTATAATGTTGACGAAACAACTCTAAATTATTCATTAAAACAATCGGGATAATTTACCCTCTTTTTACGAGTGTGTTAATAATATAGATCGTCATAGTTGGTCGATTGTGACAAGCATTCTGTGCAAGACTCTGTGAAACGTGTTTCTAACGCAAAATGTATGCTCTCATTTCTTCTTTTTGCGGAATTAAAGCGTGATTTTTAGGTTGCTGTTAGATTAAATCGTGTTAGTATCAGACACCGTTAACACCTGATCCACGGGCATAGATCGAGCGCACTTACCTTGACTTTCTTGTCATCGATCAATACAGTTTTCATGGAAAAGTCTACACCGATTGTGCTCCCGTGTGTTTCATTGAACGTGCCAAATCGAAACCTTTGAACGAAACATGTTTTCCCTGTTCCACAATCACCGATTAGAACAATCTTAAACAGGTAGTCAAAACTCTCGTCATTAGTGGCCATCAAATTATCCGGATCGCGGTTCGACATTTCCTTCTGATTGTCGACACTATTCGCGGAATCAACAACACTCTTTTTCGTTCGCGCATTCAGACTTACTGTGCAGAGCTGGAAAGTTCGCGTGCGGAAAGTATCCGTGTCTGATTGGTTAATTGGGCACATAGTACAGTCCCGGGCAAAAATGACACAGTACATATTTATGAATATGTACAAGTTTATGAAATAAACTTGAAGTTCATTGACATATTTAATCCTGCTTTAGAAAGATATTAAGAATATATTCTCATATCTCTCTCTTCTAATTCTTATTTAACTTTGGGGTTGAAATTTAATATAACATCCCATTCTTACACCATTCCTTAGTAATTATCAATTTTTTTTATAATGATTTAAATATTACATTGTACCCCTACATCAGACTGCCTAAACCATAGCGATAACATTCATTTAGATGGAAGATTTTGGTATACTATTCGTACGTCTGGGAATTTACTGTTACGTAACGAGAAGGTTATGTATACAGAGACAATGTTTCAATAATTAATCGTTCAAATAAAACGAATAAACATTGCAATTTATTAACTCTAGCTTTATTTTACATAACTTTAAAATTATTTAATGTAATGGAACTGATACATGAAATTACGACATATATTTATCATAAAGAAGATCTTAAACATGTATATTCTATTGCTATGCAATTAAAAATATGATGGAAATTTCAGCAACTAAGGCTCCTTATTTTCCGGAAGTGAATTTTGAAAGACCCTCTAGCAAACTAATATATGCTGTGTGTTCATAATTCGTACTGAGCTCAATCAATTTTTCTGCAAATTCATTTGTAATACCCTTTTCTTCTAAATAGTTCATCAGCAAATCATACAGGTACTGGAAACATAAATAGTATATGATTAAATGTGAAAGTAATATATATCAGAATCATTAAAAACAAATTAATTTTTTTGTTACATCCTTTAACTTTGATTTTCTCAAGTATAATCAAAATCGGCAAAAGAAGAGGATGTATTGTTTTACCAAAGATTAATATTCAAAATGGATAAAAAAAGGTTCCATTTTGTACTCAACTCTTTGGATTAGGTAAAATAGACTTTCAGTCAGCTTACCCCATCAATAATTTCACCTGCGACTGCATATTTTTTATCGCTGTGTTCACCTTCATACAGAGTGACTTCATCTATACCGTAGATATCATCTAAAACCAAATGATCGTGTAAACATTTGTCATAACTAGACACCTTTTAAAGCGTAATTAGGACTTAATTACACTTACTATAATTTTCACTTGCACCTGATGCGCCAGGCTCATTGTTGAACGAACAAGTGAATCCAAGAGTCATACCACCTCTCTTTATATCCACTTCAAAATTGGGTTTACTTTTCATTTCACTAACATCCGCATTATTGCTATTTATATCAATTTCTGGCTCTGTTTCGGTATCCACAGTGTGATTTATGTTAAAAGTAATTTGAATTCTGAAATGGAAATAATTAATACACTTTGTCTAAGAATCATTCGTTTTATAATTATTCTTTCTTACTTTTCATCATCTTGTTTCTTTACTAGAGTGACATCTGCACCATCGAGTGATACTTTGAAACCATCTAATTCGGTTGGAATGGTTTTCAATTTCTGTGCCTTCTTCTCTGCTACGATTTCTTCTGCCAAAAATTCTACCAGTTCCTTTTCAGCTGATGAAAAAAAACCCTTGTATAAGAAAAATGTTTAATATACATAGAATGATTCAGTTATTTTAATAAATCTAATACAGCATGGTCCCACATGGAAAAGGAAGATAAAATATGCAAGCGAATGAATATCTTTCATAAAAATATTCATTATTCATTTAAAATTTATTATTATAGAAATTTATTTTCTAATATTCTGTTGTAAAAAATTGCATTTTTTTCTTATTGCATCACAATTTCTGGGGTATTCTATATATCACAGATTTACTGCCAAGAGTTTATTTGAACAAATTTCATATAAATAGTTCGACTATTATAGTTATATTAAGCACGTGAATTAATAAAATGTTCTATTCGTTGCAATAGTATCGATCAGTAATATTAGTAATCAAGTAGCACGCGTATACCTTTTGTATGGACGTTTCTGCAATTGCAACAATTGCAAAGAATATGTTGATGTTGTAAAACTTTTGTCGAGGCAAAAGCAGTAAGATCAATTTGTCGTGAAGATATTTTCCATAATGATCTCAATTGATTTTTCGCGATTCCTGTATTGATGGTAGAAGACAAGAAATTCTTAATTGCTGTCGATCGCAACGTATTCCTTATAATGCCGTTCATTTTACTTGTTTCGTTGAGTAAATGTTCGCCACGAGTTAACCGGTGAAGATTACAAAATGGCTTCGCATCAAAGAGAAGCAGCAGCAGCAGCAGCACGCACGTACGAGGACAGAAGAATGAGTTCGACATTAAACAGATAAACCTTTAAGATACGTAACTACATTCATGACCACGATTTCTACAACGGAAAATCTTCCAGAATGCTCTTTACCAGAGAATATATACACATAGAGAGAAGAATACGCATCTTCTAAACAATTCGGTACTCTTTGTTTATTTTTTATTTCCTAATTTTGTCGTCATTATTGTATATATTTTGATCACCCTGCATGATACATATGCTGGAGATACAATTCGGCGTTTTACCGCTGTGACAATAGTATTTCAATGTCTGTGAAGAAAATTTTGTTAAGAAATTAAGCGGCTAGGGTAGTCACGTGACTTTACATTTTCAGGTTGGTATCTGGCCGTATAGATTTCATTACAGAAATGATATTACTCAGAGATGTGTAGCTGTTTGATAAATACCAGATGGAACCATCGACAAATGTTCCTAGTACATACTGTCGGTGTCTTCACGAGGCTAGGCCTCAGAATACTAGTGTGGAGTACGCACGTAAAACGAAGAGACTCCGTAACCATACAAATGCCTAATTATATACTCCACATCGTCGCACGTAGGAAAATACCTATAGCCCCTATCACCATCCCGATCTTACGCACTTTGTGGCCCGAGATTTGGGGTTGTGAACTGTCCAGCTTAGCGAGCTCGAGACAGAGTTATTATCAAACAGCTATATAGCTTTAGGTAATACCATTTCTGTAACGAAATCTGTATGGCTAGATACCGACTTGCTAAATTAAAAAATTACTGAAGCAAATAAATGTAACTACAGCATAATAGACAAATGAAATAGTCTTGCTTTTTTTCATTTACAAAAGAAAATACACTTAACTCTATTAAATATACAAGAAATTAATGATATAAGAAAATACGTTTTTTTTTTTTTTAATACATATAAGGTAACTAGAAATGAACTTCAAAACTTTTCGATACCAAGTAGTTCGTTCAATTGAGTTATTAAATGACTGTTGTACTGCACGTAATCTATCGGAGTCACATCCAAACAAGTTACTTTCATTCTCTGTTCATCCTGCAAATAAAAATTCGTCTACATTTGAAATCTTCTTATGATTACATATTATGTATTTTTACAATTTCTATAAATAAACTTACACTGAATACTTCTAGTTTCGCTTTAAGTTTAAATACGAAAGTCTTAAACGTTGCATCACCAATTTTTTCGAGGAATGTACTGTTATCATTCTCATATAATTCTCCAAGTTCCTGAGCTGTGCCATTTAATATCTTTTCTGCTTCATCGCTAAATGCTGTAATCCATTGATGGTCTGTCCAGTCGGCCAAATTTATCTAAATCAATTAAACACTTATGAATATCTTGATTATTAAAGAATATGTATGTTCATACTTACGCCAGCCAGTAAACGATATTTGTAATTAGGGTAATCTTTGCCACATTTCTCGCATCTGTACATATCGTTAGCTTGATCGATCAGCTGTAATATGTAATTTGCTCAATAACTAGATCTCTCTATGTTATAAAATGAAGATGAATTACCTTCTTCTTACAGCCTTCAATAGGACATGATTTGTAAATAGCATTTTCTACACGAATCATATTCACCATCGCCTTCACTGTGAATATTTCCATATTCTTAACTCCCGTTTCCGAATTCTTGGCTTCACGGATTGTTATCCATGAACTACTCTGACTACTAGCACCACTACCAAGTGTTCTAGATATTGATTTTACTTCTTCGTTGCGTCCAACCGTGTTGAACCAACCACGTAATTTATGTGCTGCTGGAATATCTGGATCAATTTGGATCACTGTAGAACTTATAGCGGACAGATTTTTTCCGCCATTGAATTCACCAACTCGTGCTCCTTTGATTGCCAATACCGGATTCATAGACCCGTCAAAGTTCTCGGCTTGTAAATCCCACAATGTAAGGCAGACCTAAAGATTTATAAAACTTTACCAAATGTTTACTTTGCCTTTGTTAATTAAATAAATCTTACCATTGTATTGCTTTCATCAACAAGATTAATATCTCTTTTCTTTAGTTCTTTACCCGTGGTTCGTGCTGTCAATGTTTGGACCTCGCTACAGGACTTAGCAACTCCCAAAATATCTGTAATATATTACCATGTAATATAAGTAATACACCCTAATGAATCATGATTAAACGAGTATTCAAAGTACCTAGTATATCATTCTTCTCTTTCGTTTCTATATCAGATATTAGTGAAAAGTTAAACTGAAGAGAAGGAATATCATTTCCAGCGTCATGACATGGAATGATTTCTGTATCTCCAGTTAGAGTCATTTCGTAATCGTTTTTCAGATTGTTGAATTGCTTGTTTGCTGATTTCAAAGTTGCTCTAGAAAGATAATACACTTTGCCAACCTGTAATGCATGTTTCGTGTTACAATTTGAAGAATGTGCACAACGACAATAGCAAGAATTATACCTCGAGCATATCATAAAATTTGTCGCATTGATCTCTGAACGCTGTACATCTAATTTCTCCACTCTCATCAACCAGATCCATGGAAAACAATTTTCCTTCGCCGCGCGAGTTGCTCCATGTTCTGATATTGGATTTGCTGATAACTCGTGCTTTTATTACCCATCTATGAAATACTTTTTAGAATGCTCTAATAGTGTAGTGGTGAAGTAAAAGTAGATTATATACTCTCTCTCTCTACTTGCCTATTTTGATAAGGACTCAATGCAACAATCGGAGTTGTTGTTACGTTATTGGCAGAAGCTTGAGGTGTACTTTGTTTTTGCATAAAATCTATTGTAGCAATAATTAGACTTTAAATTATTCTCTATCCATGAAAACTATATACATAAGTAATATTATTAACTGACTACTACCATTCCATTGTCGAGGTGGAGATTTTGCAGGCTGTGTAGATGGTGCTTGTTTAGAATCACCTTCGGATTCAGCATTAGTTGGGTTTCCAATTTTTTGACCAACCTCTTCACCAGGAACTTTTACTTCTATATTTAATATCACCATCACACGTCTAAATTGGGATACATGTACATCAAATTAGATTTTTGTTGCCTTCATAATTATATCAAATAAGTACAATGTCTCCTCATATGTGTATACATTTTTTAATTAACATGTTCCGTGCAGAGCCATTTATGCACGACTTTTTATTCAGGCCATTTGTTGTTTTGACAAAAGATTGAAATATCATATGTAATAATTAATTATTACTGCATTATACTGCATTTTTCATAATGTTTCATTACTTTGGTGGAAATATAATCTTCAGTCTTAAAATTGTTATAGAACATATGTTTTTAGTGCATTCTACAAACATATCAGCGTGTACCACCAGTGATACGTGCAGCCTGAACAGAAAGTTTTATGGTTGCACACATGGCAAATGTGTTAATGACTACATCTAATTTCGGTACCTTGATGATATTATATATATTATATTATATAATATATTAAAAATCTACAAATTAATTCCAACTACAGTAAATTCTTCCTAATTGACACTCAAATCGTACGCAAAAATCGACAATTTGGGAAGATGGGATACGATTATTTGAGAGGTGTGGCTCGTTTTTATAGTTGTTGACAATCATCTGACTATAAAAACGAATCATGAGACTTGAATAATCGTATCTGCTTTTCCCAAATTGTCCATTTTCATGCACAATCTGAGTATCGGTTAGAGAGAATTTACTGCATTTGATACTTTGTATATAATAAAAAGCATCGCCAATAGTATGATAAATTATGAGCCGTTGCATACAAAATAAATATTATGTACTTTTGTTTTCCTGCATTGTTCACCATACTTATCGCATATCTATTTATTTGACAAATGGAAAATTCCGTTAATATGTTATCTGTGATCATTGAATTTAACTGTGTGGCCAACATTGTGAACGAATTTATTCTTTTTCCATCGGATACAAGTAGTCTATAACGTTCTCCACTACTTGAGCTTGCCAGTTTTTTGTTTCCCTGTAAATGATGAAAACATTAATAGTAATATATATTTAAAATATAATGTCTAAGTATAAAATACTTACCAATATTTGTAATACCGGCTTGTCAACATCAATGCCGTTCATGATTTTCTAGAAGCAAATATAGAATAAGTCAAATAAATCATTAAGAATATAAAATTCTATTGTACTTACATCTATTGATCCCTCGGTAAGCGGATACATTTTCAATAACGATAAATAACTTTTAAGCTTTACGATAGATAACAATGCTTCCTTAAATCAAAATGGTTTAATTGAGACATAGAACGTTGAATGCGTTCGATGCTATAGTCATAGAGTATGTATTTCGAATAAGAGAGTTAACACGTTATTCGAAAAATTTGTCACATTTATTACATATATTTTCTTCGAAGGTGCTACTGTAGATAAATTCTAAAAACAGTTTCGTAGGAAATAATAGCATCATCTGAAAATTAACTTTTATAAGCAAAAATAAATAAGAGATTACAATTAGATTTTGATATCAGACACTTATAAAATGGTTTTATTAGGTTGGCTTTCCTGATGAGCACCAGTGACAGCCAAGACATTGTTTCCCGCCACTTTTATTGGCGCCAAAATGTCTTTATTATTTTGTATGTTTTAAGTAAATATATTGAAGACGAAAATAATACCAGAAATTAAATATCGTTAATAGAGTTTCTTTCGAAGTTTAAATTCATAATAGGGGTTAGACAAGATGTTAAACAAACGTTGTAAAATTGCTGGTCAACGATATGTTAACATAGCCTAATCAATTTTTACATGCCAATTGTAATTTGCATTACAAATCGTAAATGAAATTTCAAGGTTTCCTAACAGATTTCAGATCAAATAAAACATATTTTTAACTCTACATTTGTTTTTTAAATATTTGTCAATGGTTCTGATAGAAACCTATGTTACCATAAGTCGATAATCTCGCATCGAAAATCAAATTTAAAATTAATAATTGTGATCTTTTATGAAAGTAAATTACGTACACACGAATTCATCACATATTTTAAACAATTTAGGAAATTGACGAGTAGCCTTTTAATTTCGTAAAAAACTGTAATACAGATATTGAACCTTTTATAAATTGTTGTTTTTATCAATAACCGTGACTTGCTGTCAAGATATATGATACCACGTTTCAAACAATTCCGTGTATAATCTTACATAGTAACATAATCTATTATAGATTCCGTGGCGCCTACGTATTGGGAGTGACTCATTCAAATTGTCATTACGCAGTAACGTGTTATTGTTTAACGAGGTCACCTAAACTCTGAATACATGAAATGAACTCTACCGATGAGTGAAATATTGCTACGACTGACTCAATTAAAATTATTGCATATGATTACGAATTCGTATAAAAGTAATCGTGTTTACTTGACATTAAGTTGTTACCAGGAACTGTGGTATACACGTAGGTCTTCTGATTCGATGACTGTCTATAACAATGACATCATTAATATTTCGAACCTAATTGAGAGAGAAGCACAACTGAACCGATTAGTTGTTGCTATATTTAGGTATTAAGTAGTATAATACGTGCATTAATTATTTGCCGTAGCACAGTACTTAAATATTAATTATAACACAGTTTATATTATTGACATACATATAAGAGACTTATACTAATTCTTTAGACGTCAATAAGATGATTGAAAGACCCGTTATATTCCAACGCATCATACGTGAACTATTCACCGGTTATTTTGAAACTATTCACTGGTTACTTTGAAACTATTTAACCGCGGTCATAAGTATCACGTTAGTAATCGTTTGCTAATTACAGATTTATTCGACAATTAATATGTTTTCGTGTGGACATATGTATGTATTGCAAATGGTTCCGTTTTTTCAGCGTTTCAACAAAACAAAGACGAATTTGCATAATTTGTGACTCATTCTATTCGTATATATAATCTTCGTAGTTTAATTATCGCTTGCAAATTACCGGCGTTGCGTAGGCCGACGCGCATGCGCGGCCTGATCACCTTCATGGAGCGTCAAAACGACGCGGCATAGTGCAGTACGAGTTCAGTCTTCGGAGAGTTCGTATCGATTCTCTTTTGTGTCGAAGATTTCGTTTATTGTTTTCAAAGAAAGACAGCATGGCGATCTGTGAGTACATTTTTACTTATAGTGGTCATCATTGTTTTCTGAATGTTATAATATTGACATCAATATTCTACAATAAAAATGATTACGATTATTGCTGGCGTTCCGGCACCGAAACTTACAACATCCACCGACAATCTAACGTTACCCCGAACTATATTTCTGACATGATTGCTCCACGTAAAAAGATCCTGATCACGTTGTTTTATTTGTTTTAACGACGACTTAATAGAATATCTTACAATATTACACTTCACCTAGCGTGGAGACCAATTGCGTTGTTCCTGACACATCTACCGGTTTACCTTATTTGAACGTTACATATGTAAAACGGTGGTCGTCAATTCCCGAGTACTTGTGATTTCGGTGAACGCTTTAATATAATAAGTGACTATCATCCCACAAATAGGCGTTCGTCATAGTACCACTCTAATAGATGAGAACACATAGTATTTTCGGAGGAAGTGAAGCACAACCGAGAAATTCTTCGCGTGACTCTTGGTGCTTGGCTATATTTATCTGGCGGATTCGATATTCTATTGAATTCCAGCGTGCCAGTTGCTTCTTGTAAAGGTTACCGAAGCGTGATCCTTGAATTACCGGAGTTCTCTATTATTTCGCACCAGTTTCTTCCGATCCAGATCTGACTCACGTATTATACCATTTCTCCACTCTCTTGAATCCTGTGATTTCTGCCGTCGGTAGCATGCGTATCGAACATCAATTTCTATTTAAATTATTTTCAAAGATATAAGACATTTTAATGCAATTATTATTATTATTATTATTATTATTATTATTATTTTAATGCGATTAAGTAGTATCGAATCTGTAGATGATCGATAGCGTCTCGGCGGGTGTATATTGCACCGATAGATTATTGTATCGATCTTGCGAGATGAAACGTAGGACCATAATAATAATAAATTAAATAATGCTTCCTCAGCCTTCTTCCTAGTGTTCAGCTAAATATAGCGACGGGCGCGGCCGGTTTGACAAGCCGGCCGGCTTTCTTTACTCTCGCGATACGATTTCACGAGGCCATAGAACGTCATCAATTAACCTAGAATTCGAAAATGTTGCGGTGCATTTTCGCGATCACAAAGCACGTTTAGTTCCGTCGCTGCTATTTACCACGACGTAGCATCGTCTCGACGAGACACAATTATTTCTCAATTAGAGATTGTTATCGCTAACAATTCTCTTGGAATCCCGGCTTCGATTATGCGAATCTCACGTTCCTCGCGATTTATTTACTATTCATAGCTATTCATACTATTCATACCTCATATTTACCATCTAATTCCTCGAGTATCTTCTCTGTCTTTTTTTTAGTATTTATTTTGTGTTGTTTTACTCGGAAAAGACGCTCTCTTGTTACCGTAGACTTGCAACACGATATCGTTCGGTCGTCTACATCCGAGAAACAGGTTCTAGTATACTTATTATTAGTCGAGCGTATCGTAGGTGACAGAAACCTATTTATTTTCGTGTAACATGTCTTGACCGCGGAAGCTGAAGGTCGAATATGTTTATAACGATCTTCGGAAAACCAGATACGCGGTGTGGATCGCGAATGAGAAAAAATACAAACGGCATTAAATAGTACAAAATTACAAATCGATCTGTCTTCGGCTGTTATTTCAGCGGCCGTTCATGGCCGCGCTGACCGTCACGTTTCCGTCCGTCCAACGAGACGAAACAGTAGATAAGACAGCTGCAGGTGACGACGCACGTGTCGAACAGGGTCGGCACACGATTTTCGAAGTAGCTTATTGTTTCATTATATCTTCGAGTGCCTACAATCGCGCGTGGCTTAACGGTCGCCTCGTTCGCTGTCTCGTCTCGTTGGACGGACGCTATAGCTAGCAAAAGGAACACAGTTGCTATGCGAGGTCAGTGACAGAGAGGATAGGCGCTAAAACTTCGAAGGTGGAGCGTCTAGCTCTAGCCGTACTTCTCGTAACCGACAAACCAACCTCGTTAACTGATGACACGTGCAATTTGTTCGATTGGTTATTGCACGGAACGGCGTGTTGAATATTCGAAAGGTACCTGTTGCTGCGTTCGTCACGATGTTATTCGTAACGCTTGGCCAGTAATTTTCGAGTGACGCGAAATCACGAAATTAGAGAAGTCGGTGGCAACGGAAACGAATTCAGATTAATTCCTCGAGGTACATACCGGTTAACGAATTACGTTAGCAGCAACGACACAAGCCCGGCCGATCTTGCGCAATGGGAAATTGACTCAATGACACTAATTTTCGCATTGTTATGTTAATTGTAACACGCCTCGCGCGATACAGGCTCTATGGTTTAATCAGTTCGCCGGGATATTAACATTCTGCGGCCGATTGCGATCTGGGTTGCCATCTTTGCAGCACCGGGGCCGGAAATTACCGTTAATGGAATAGGAAGAGCGACTCGGACAGCACGGGAACGGCGCGAACTTGCTTAAGCTCGCGTAATTAGACACACGCGAAGATTCGACGTGGTCGGGCCCGTGAATTAGGCAACGCGATCGCCTGCTGTGCGAAACTCGAATCCGGCGTTTGCAAAAATTAGGGAACAGCGGGATTTATAAAAAAAGAAATGTAATCATTTCGCATCAGAAAAAAAGGAAAGAACTTATGGGACACCCTAATATAATGTACCGATCGATGTCGATATAATGTCAAGATAATGAACTTTTAATAATGTTCTTTCATACGTTATCAGCGCGGCGAATTTCTGTGACCGGAACAATCTCGCTGTGAAAGTTCGTCGTCGCATCGATCAGTTCGAATCATTGGCGTACTTGTAATGTGAAGTAATCGGCATCGAAGTAGCAATGACATCGGCTCGATGATGTTTCCGACCTCGTCCAACGGGACTTTCTATTATCTTTAATTCTGTTATCGGCATTGGGTCTGCGATTTCTACGCACGTGGGAATATTCATGGACAACACACGAGTTATTTATAGCGACGCGAGTTATGGGGATCGCCGGTGGTGGAACTTATGACCCTTGCTCGTTGAAACTGGCAATTTGATTCAGGATCACGAGTCACGTCATTAAACGAGGCTGAGCTGATTTTAGCATCTCTTGTTGGTCAAGTGAAAGCATCCAAAATGGTCCCTCGAAATATCTAATATGAACTTGCGAGTTCCTCCGAGCCATCGCTACTTGAGAAAGTACTTAAAAAAAATTCTGAAATTCGTTGTTCGTCGACGAGTAATTTAAGCTAACGATTACATTGTCTAGTAAAATTTTCGTTCTTGTAAGCCTGAGTTCTTCTAGTTCTTCTAAGTCATGCGTAGTGACTTAAATGACTCGGTAAATATGTATCGATACCTAGGCACATAGATATTAATACCGTATTCTCCGACGACGCCACTTTGGTGTCGCGTTTACGGCTAAAGGGGCAAATACCTTAACGAAGGTATGCGGAAGAATACGAATTCCGCGAAAGAATCTGCAACGACGGTTTAAAAAACAAAATACGGTGACCCCCAAATTATCGGCGATTTCTTGACGATACGGTGATGTCAGCAACGGGAACACGGCCTCCGTGACACAAGTCACTATTTATAAGCGTTGCGTTCGTTCCGCAAAACGTGGTCTTTGGAGCATCGGTTGGTAGCCGCCTCGATGGCTAGTACACGCGAAAACAACCTTTCGGACGATCGTTCCATCGATCACCGACCGTCTCGATCAATTTTTTATTCGGAACCGGTGAACGCGTTCGGCCGTGGTGCGATCCCGTGCCAAACGAGTGAACTTTAAAAACAGTTGGTTTGTGTTCGAAAATGGAAAAATTACGATACAATGACGTAACTTAGGACGCGATCGATATGATATTTACTGCCGCAATATTTACGTTTACATAAACCGTTACGATGCAGTGAAGTGCGACGATCGCACGACGCGCAAAATGTTTGATCGGCGAAGCAGTTGAAGTTGTTAATTTTCGTTTGAACAGTGAAACAAGGCGACCATAAACTATCGTACTCGATGCACCGAGAAACGAACAAGTTCGTTCGCATAAGTGTTCACGCGTGTGAAACAGTCGATTAGATATAAGCTTTTCGCGAATGTTGGAAGCTTAGTTTTATTTATGTACCCGATATTACCAGATACGCGAAGCTGAAAATATTCTGCGGCCACGAATACAACTCTGTACGATAATCGTGATAATCATTATAATGGGCTCCCGCGATCGTAGCCTATCGGACTTTTATCGTTACGTGTTACCAAAGAACTTTTTACTGAAGTTTGCCATACTGGCGTTGATTTTCATCTTCACGGACGTGGGACGTCATCTGCGATCTCTGTTCGATCCCTCAGGTAAATATTTATGCTGCAAGGAATTGTCGAAAGAGAGCACGTTCTTTCGTAGTTCGAAACTCTTTTAAATACCTTGGTCTTTTTTTGTGAGAATTTTTCTAAATAAAATTGACTACCGTTGTTTTTTTCTCTTTTTTTTTTCTGTCAGTAAACATCGTCGACCACACGTGCATTATGCGACTTCGTCCCGCGACAATGCCATAAAAAGTTTATCGTGCCAACGTTTACCGCTGGAACGTTTAATCGTAAAAACGGATATTTACCAATCGGAGTCCTAGTATTTAGGGAGCGCCGTTGATTCGATGCGTCGCGTCGCGAGCAACTAGAATTTATGGTCGCACGAAATCGTTTGCAGCCGGCGTTTCTGCTCGAACGCAAAAGGAAAGAGAAGACGGGGCATCTGACTCGTCGACAGCGACGTCGACGCCGGCATTCCATTTTCGTCGAAGGAAACCCGCCTGTTTAATTGAAGACAATCAGCTCGAGACCGTAAATTGTTCGCGGACTAGAAATAGGAACGTCGAGATGGTGAACTTGTAACTAATTCCACGGTTTCCTATTTCGCTACAGTCGGCGTTTTCATTGATTTTGCTCCCCATTCATGAATCTCTAAATTAATCACGGGCTTTGCGATAAAAATGATAAACTTTAAAACTGTAAATGGTTAATTTGTGTTTTTATGCACGTTGACGTATAAAGACATATTACACAGCACACTAATCGTAGAGCGTGATAATTCGATTGCGGATCTTTATGAAAAATGAAAATTCTCAACCTCGGTTGCAACGAACCAAAGTAAAATAGTAGCTTGTTCTTTCTCAACGTGTCAAATAGGTTGAAAATATTGGGTTGGCAACTAAGTGATTGCCGATTTGTTCAATGAAATAAAAAATCTTTTTTACTTGGGACGAAGTTTAATCTGTAATGTATTTTCCATTTTGTTCGATGACCTTTTGCCATCTCTCCGACAACTTGAAAATTCCACGCTCGTAGAAAGTCTGATCCTTTTTGGCCAAAAACTGAGTTAAGCGAGATTTTACAGCGTCGTCGTCGTTAAAAGTTTTACCACGAAGGGAATTGTCCAGGGATCGAAATAAGCGGTAATCCGATGGCGCGAGATCAGGTCTATATTTGACCGCTGCATTCAATTTGTCCAGTTGCTAACATTCACGGATAATAAAAAATAACATAATAATAATAATAATAATAATAATTTTATAGTACATAACATTTACGGATATCATAAAAATGGGAGTGAGAGGCATCTGTAACTGAAATCGGCAATTACTTAGTTGCCAACCCAATAATATAACAGCATTCTTAAAGTCTAATAATCTTGCCACCGTTTTCTGTTCCACCTACACACGGTGCTCTTATAAATATCTAAAATCCGCATTTCGCTTTTATTGAAACTTTTTAACAATGCAAATAGCGAATGGATTAATGGAAAGAAATTGCATCTCAATTATTATTTCCACGTTTCGCAATAGGCGCGGATAACTTTTATTCTGCACGAAGGTCCGCAGTGTTGGTAATCGAGTATGAAGTCATCATCCTGGCTCTCTCGTCCTTCGAGCTCCAAGTCCGTTAGGCTCGCAGACGTTTATCGACTGTGTCGAGATCATCGGCGAAGATTTCTAATCGCGCGAGACGTGATCTAGACGCGTAATTATTGCGGCCACCGGGATATTGATCGATGCGAGTCCTGCATTGTCCTACTTTCGTTCGCTGTATCATCAGACCGGCGTCCAGACGTCTGGTATGTTCGTTGGAAAAACGTTGCCCCACTTTTGTCGAATAAAAATCGTCCTGTTTGCTCGTTTCTCCTGGTAAATTGACCTTATTGTGCTCAAGGGTGGTCGTTACCACCCCTGGCTGAATGCATGCGCTGAAGAAAACCATTCGTCATAATCAAATTATGGATTTTATGCGTTCTTGACTTTTTCAAACTTAAGCTTTTTCTTGTAGGATGTTGTGCGATCGATAATAAATTCATCCCCTTTCCAGCAGAGAAATACATTAATACTAGAATTGGAATAAATGAACGTAGAATACATAAAGGTTTATAAATTTAGAGTTTGTCGAATTGTTCGACGTTACAGTCACTACAATCTTGTACTTAACTTTCAGCGTCGTTGTTAATATTATAAAAGACTGGAGCGTGATGATGTAATATTGAAAGCAATAGTTACGTAACTTCGCTTTAGCAGAGCACACGGCTACGTTCGATCGGCTTCGAGTCCGATGATGAAGGTACACATGGCCGCGAGGATCGATCCAAGTAGCTTTTCAGACATCGAGAACTTGAGCTAGGGCGTTTGGCTTGCATCTGTCAGGGATATTTTGTGTCCAGAATTCTCCTTTGAAATCGATGGGATTTCAGGTAAAAAATTCGCTTCAAAGACGACTCGTCTTCCCTGCCGTTTGAAATTTTCTTCAAATTCTCCACAGTCTCTTCGTAGCGACTGAATATTCCCCAGCTGACTTCCTCCGCTATTATTTGCTGGCGTCGTAACGACCGGAATGTTAAAGACCACTTATACCGACCAAGGAGAAATAGTCAAAGTCCAGCTGTAAAAATGTTAACGAGCGGTAATTTCATTCAGTGACATCGATTAACATTGTAATTTTGTATCGGCAGCACTCTCCACCGAGGACAAATTGGAATACAAATTCTACCCCGTCGCTACCGGGCAGGTTCAGTTCCGGGTGAAGGCAGCGAACGACGCCCACGTTGCTCTCACCACCGGCCCCGAGGAGGGAGAACCCATGTACGAGGTAAACAAGACGACAATGTTCCAATAGAACGCGATGATAATAACAACGACAACAATAACAATGGTGTAATATTAACGTATCAGGTTTTCATCGGCGGATGGAGCAACGGCAAATCCGTGATTCGCAAGAATAGAGCGAAACCCGAAGCCGCGGAAGCCGAGACACCTGGTATATTAAGTCCTGACGAATTCCGCGGTTTTTGGATCAGGTGAGCCGTACATTAATAAACATTGATATCGATAGCTTCTAGAGCGAGAGGCGTGGACAGTTCGGATGCTCTAAGGTCGGCCTCCAACGGTCGGTCGTGGTTCACCACGCATTCAAGTCTCCAAGGCAGGGCACTATCTTTCTGTAATCGAGACTCTCGGAAGTCCAATTGATCAAGATCGCGCAATAAAATGTTATAGAAACGAAGTTATGTATGTATCCATAGATGTGACTGGGAAGAAAATATTACAATGATGTAATTACAAGAGCCAGAGAGAAGAAATGTATTCGATAAATAACTGCCTAAGCAAAAAAAAGGGTAATAAGAAGTCGAAGTAGACAGGCTTTCGTTTAAAAATTGTATTTCGTGGGAAATGAAGATGATCGGTTCGATGCTAGATAGTATTAAGCGATCTTGGTAGTTACCAGAATGATTACTCACACGATAATTGTTCCAGATGGGGCGATGGTGCTATCTCCGTGGGCAAGGAAGGCGAACCGAGTGCATTCCTCACGTATACCGATCCAGACCCGTTCGGAATCGGTTACTTCGGAGTGTGCACTGGTTGGGGTGCCTCCGGCGAATGGATGATCGAAGGTACAATATCCTGTGGATCTTATTTTCGACACTGTCTCAGGGTTTAGTAGGTTTTCACTAGAGTTGCTTCCTCTTCTACCTCTACAGTTTATTTAGATGAGTTTCTTAAAGCAAGTATTTCCTGTAATTGAAAATCGATATTTAGAAGCTTGATATTACGGTAAAAACTGTAAAGTATATTATTACGTTGCTTTGGATGATATAGAAATAATTATCTTTGCAAATAGTGTATATACGATTATAGTAGATATACCGCAGCGTAATATGTTTTTTCAACCAGATATTTAAGTATCTTTCACTATTTATTAACACGATCTTGTTCCTGGTACTTAATCGGATGTCGGGATGGATCTCTACTAATACGCCTTCGTCCGCACAGCCATCTGTGTCGGTGATCACGATCGTTGTACGTATTGTATACAGGAGCCTGAGCGAAAAACGTAGTTGCATCCCCTAGAAAGATCTAGCTTCTCTGCTCGAGTATGTTTGATTTGGTGCTAGCACGTTCCGCCCCCTGCCTTTTTATTGTTCAATTAGACTTTTGATTGAGACCTGTGCACACGAAGCAAAGTATCAATCACGTTTGTCAATTAGACGCTCGCACTTGTACACGAACAGTGGATAAGATTAAGATCAGTGGCCAAGAAAAAGAGATCAGGAATAAGACAATAAAACAGTTACATTATATTGCGGGGTGGGAATCATGCGCCATTTTCTTTCCTTTCCATAAGGACACGGCTCGCTGTCAACGGGGAATAAATTAGTCTACCAATTTCGTAATGTGAGAAGCGGGGCTGTCCTCCTGGACGTGAAGGCCAAGAGTAACGCTCACATTGCCTTGACCAACAAAAGGGGCGAATCGTCCCCTATGTATGAAATCTTGCTTGGGGGTTGGGAGAACATGGCGTCGGTCATCAGATACGATCGTAAACAGCCCGACAAGGTTTGCCGTCGAACTTGAAACAATATCGTTCCTTCGACTTTTACTTTTGGGTCGGTAACATTCCTTGATCGTTCAAGAAAAGAACAAAATGTATGCGAGCAGTTCTAACCCATCGCTGGAAGATAAGAAATCAAGTGATGGGTTAGTACAACGTAGCGAAGAGCCGAAAAAGCTAATTGGACAGGTGTGCCCGTCGCAACAAGGAAGAGTCGAAGGAACCCTTCGTTCGCGTGTCCATTGATCCGCCCTAAACGGCTGATTCTGCACGGACAGGTGCGCGTAGACACGCCATACCTGATGAACGAGAGCCAGTCGAAGAAGTTCGCGATTACTTGGCTCGACGGCTTGATCAGAGTCAGGGCTGAGAATCTAAGCGGTCCCGTGATCATGGAATGGCGGGATCCTAAGCCGATCGGCATCAGCTACGTGGGCGTACGCACCGGTTGGGGCGCGACCGGAAAATGGCAACTTCGTGCTGTCAGATTTCCGGCTCCCGATGCCAAAAGTAATTTGTCACGAAAGTATTTTTTTTCGTCGAGAAACGAATTTTTTTAACATCGCTGCGAACATGTGAAAAGCTTCTTGGCCTCGATTTCTTGGAAATTGAAGAATGAGTACAGTGTTGCCTCGGTGAAAGGCGTTCAGGTTCGTCGGGTAACGGGTAACGGGGGTGGCTGGTACTTTCGGGAGGTCACTTGAAGTCTTTTACCAAGGCAATATCGTACAAATTCAGAACTGTTTCTCTCAAAGGATTTGACTAATTCAAATGTAATTCTATCTTCGAGATTCTCAGATTATCTTTCCGTTGAATCAAAATGTTGTTTGTACGCTTTGCTATTCCTTGCACGCATCGGCGGAACTCGGGATCATTGAGCAACAGCAATTGTTCTCGCTTGAGTGGCGGTGCAGATTCGAGCATCTTGTATGGAAATATATTCTTGGAAACATTAATAAATGGCTGCAGAGAATGATTTCAGGAGATGGTTTGAATGCTCGATTGAGTTTGAAGTGATTATGTCCGTGACTATACTAACTGCACGTTCAATCATGCTTTTCTAACACTAGTATATACTGCACCAAGTATACCGAGATCTTATCGTTATCCCCTGCAGAACTTTCGCTTGTTTCCATGTAATGCGCGACACGATGTCCTATCAGTAATGAGAAGATTAAAAAGAAAGCGGTTAGAATGTTTATGTTTTACTGACTATGACTTATGTTTTACTCATGTATCATCGCTTTAATATTGTCAGTGCGACGATAATTAATACATCAATGCTCCTTTTCATCGATTGCAATTTTTTTCATAGCATGTATGTATGCTGCTCCAATGAAATCGGTGGTGAAACCCAAATATTAAGAGGATCATTTAAAAGCTATAAGATTCAAAAAATTACATGAAGCTAGAAGAAGGATAAAATATTTTCCTTTTCTTTCGTTGTTTGTGTTGCACTACTGATCCATTCCTGCGTGTTTTGGACGCAACCGGTTAATGTTCCAATGCACCTGCTTCCAGATGCAACGAGCCCATCTGCCCCGCCTCCACCGGTGCAAGGTTTGGAGGAGGTAGGCGGTAAGTTCGGAGAATGCTGGTGTGACTCGACAGGTGGCATGGTGCCTGGAGATGCTGTCGAAGGTGGAAAGGACGACGAGGTCCTGTTTGTAGGCAGAGCCTTCCACGAAGGAGCTCTTCTGCCCGGCAAAGTTAAACCTAGCCACTCTGTTTGCTACGTTGCATGGGGTGGTGAAGAGCATGGAAAGTCTGAGTACCAGGTAATTAATAATACATGCTTTTATTATGATATCCCTTGCACGACTGCAACCAGCTCTGCACACCTGTACATTTAAAAAAATTGTTGCAGGTTCTCTGTGGCTGCAGGCCTACATGGGTTTCAACCAGTGGAAACAACATTCCTCCCAATTCAATTCCTGGTGGCGAAACTGAGGATGGGGAACCCCTCTTCATCGGCCGCGTGCAACACGAAGGCACTTTGACAGTTGGCAAGGTGCAACCGTCCCACAGCGTCTGCTATATCCCATTCGGTGGTACCGAAGTCGCCTTTCCCGATTACGAGATTTTGGTTTCACAGTAATCGAGCAGTGATCGCGCTGAGACAAAACAGAATTACAGGCTGCACCGACTCGTCGATGAATTTTAACCATTGTTTCAACAATAATTTTGTTTTCCAAAGCTATGTTCAACATTAAAAGGAGAATCAGTTTGTGTTATATATAATAAGATCGATTTAATAATAAAAAAAGAATAATATTAAGAAGAATCAGTTTAATGAATACATTTTTGTAGTAGAATCAAAAATTGATGATATTATTGTAATATTATTGTATTTATGATTTTATTGTAATTTTTTTATGGATCTATTTTTTGAAATATTATAACAAATGTTGAAGCGATACACCATTAATTTGTAAAAAATATTTACAATGACACAGTTTCTTTGAATCAGAGAATCTCTTAATGACAGTCAATATTCTTTATTGAGAAGTGGAATGTATTAGTGGATCATGAAGCTTATATGTGTGCAAACTAGTCTAGTTGTGAATGAATTCATCGACCAGTCGAAATACGCAACATGTGTCCACTTCCGCACTTGAAATTACGATGTAGAACGCGCAAATCAAACTGGCGATGTATGTAGCTCCGCTATGTATGCAGATTACTTGTTGTTAACTCCAGTTTTGTGCCGTTTGAATGATCGTTGCCTTTGACTCGTTCCTTGTTCGTACGAGAGCATCGCTAGAACGTATATTCGACAGCCACATAGTTTTTTAACGCACAACACTCTTCGCTTTCTTGAAGTTATTTTTGGATTCTATATTGTTATGAAACAATAAATATTATAAATTATTCGATGGTCTTAATCTCTTAAAAGGTGTTCTCCTACTTGTCGTGCAGATTTTAATATACCACCTAAAACCCGTCTAATCTTGTTGACCCTCACAGTTTAATATGAGAGATTTAACAATTGAAAGTATCTTTTGGAAAAGGATAACGAAAATCATTTTTCGGGTATTTGAACTTTTTACATATAGTAAAAACTACTAAAAAGATGAAAATTACAGGAATATTTGAAATTATTAGAGCTAGAGGAATAATATTTAAATGTCGTTTATTTATTTAATAAAGAATCAAGATTTGCAAGCCGTTATGGATAAATTTTCTATTTACAGAATCATAGTGAACGTAATTTTTTTGCGGGGGCGTTTATGAGTGGTCAGACTGGCTGTAGGTTTGCTCTTGCGTTCCATGTTCCAATATACATATGTAAGCTGAATAAGCCAGACCTTAACAATGGCGGCTGAACCGTCACGATTAGCTGTTCAATGTCAACTGGAAGAGGAAGTTTTGAAATAGTGGCAGGTGCGAAGTGTTTAATTGGATATTATGGCGGACAAAGAGCCTGCTACTATCGACGATGAAATTGGGGATCCCGGCATCGAGCCTGGTGCTTCTACGGAAACAATGCTTGTTACCACCGACAGTTTCGAGGAGTATGAGCAAGAGATTAGTAGTAGCATCGACGATAGACAAATGAAAGAAAGCACAACGAGCACCATCTCCGAGATCCAGGAAGACGCGCAAGACATTCCGACAACACCCACAGTAGCGAATTCGCGAGATCTTCAAAAAACACCTTCTCTTGATGATTCCGAATTAGTAGGTTTTATAACCTCTTTCAGAAGAATCACTTTTAATTAAATATCAATCCAATCGATTCAATAAAAATGTTGGTGGTCTTTCGTGTTTAGCATGCAAGCCTATTGACAACTTTTGATTGTTATAAGAATTATTATTTGTTTTACTCAAGTTGGGGTCACATTATCTTTCGGTGTGACACCCACTCAATATCAGTAGATGCTTACCTTCATTTTGTTTCAGGAGGGTGTCACCCATCGAATAGGTCAGAGTAGTTTAGATTCCGATCCCTTACGTTGCAAAACATGGCTGGCTCAAAGGAAACATATATTTATTTTAAGCCAGGCTGGAAAACCTATATACTCTAGATACAGTTCTGAGGATAAACTAGTCACAGTGATGGGCGTTATGCAGGCTCTTGTTTCATTCGTCCAAGCAGACAGCGATATGATTAGATCTGTACATGCAGGAGATACTAATTTTGTGTTCGTAGTTAAAGGTCCACTAATACTAGTTTCAGTCTCTAAAACACTCGAAAGTGTACCACAACTTACATTGCAATTAACGTACGTATACACTCTCGAAACACTGATTTATTTTTTGTTGCACATTAACATATCTACTTTCATTTCAGATATGTGTACAATCAAATAGTCTCTATGTTGACACAGTCACAATTAACTAAAGTATATGAGCAACGTAGGAATTTTGATTTGAGAAGATTGTTATCTGGTAGCGAAAGACTGATAGATCATCTATTAAACTTCATGGATAGAGAACCAGCATTTTTCCTAGGAGCTATTAAATGTTTACCCCTACTTCCTTCTATGCGAAGTTCCATTGCTCAAACAATCATCCAGACTTGTGGAAAGATCAAGGTATACTAGATATCTAAGATCAAATTTTGATTTCCTTTAATGGTTGTACTAACAAGTCACACTTTCCAGAATTTAGTGTTTGCAATACTTCTAGCTAATAATCAACTGGTAACGTTAGTCAGAATGAACAAATTCTTTTTACACCCAGTGGACTTGCATATAATACAGAATTTGGTCGACAGTTCAGAGTCGCTTAAAACAGCCGAGAGCTGGACACCGATATGTCTGCCAAAGTTTGATGCCAATGGTTATATGCATGGACATGTGTCATATTTGGCCGAGGACTGTCAAGCATGTCTGCTATTACTCACTGTCGACCGAGACGTGTTCTTTGTACTGTCCGAGGCAAAACAGGTGATTTAACATAGAATTTTCATTGAGATTTCCAAAAACATTTTGCTGAATAATTTTCTTTCTAGAAAATCGTAGAAAAATTGAGACGGACAAATTGTCTGGAAGCAATTAACGAATCCATGAACAAACCACCGATTACAACGGCTGACATTGGATTGCCAGAGATGCGGCACGTTTTATACAAATGTAAAAGTACAGCTCAGTTTTGGAGTCCTGGTTTTCAAGCTCCGTATACAACGGATGAAGAAATAGAGCGGTACATTTATATTAATAAAAATGAGATTCATGAAATAACAGTAATTCCACAATTGCAACATTTTTTCCACAGATTGCTGGGTCTTTATCAGTGTTTGCACCATAGATTATACGCTCCAAATCGACCGCTGAAATTTATATTCCAACAATTAGATAAAGAGACTATGCTAGCATGGGTAAGTTGAATATAATTAACTTTGGGATTTCCCAATTTATATATCAGTCTAATATTAAATACACGTTCCAGGTAACACTGGGTTTTGAATTGTATGTTACGTTTGAACCGTTAGTAACCAAAGCTGATGCTATTGAAGCGGCAAGTAAATTAGTAAAGTGGATCAAGAAAGAAGAAGAGAGATTATTTATTTTAAATCCCCCAACGTTTTAAGAAAAAGATTATGGGTCGAATGGATAAAGTTTAAAAACGTGCAGTACACTGTTTTATAACGGTTTATGCTGCTAAATGGAGTACCACGAATAATAGCGAAGCAAACTGCATCGTAAGTGGGCGATGCATTCACGTTGTTTTCTTTCTCATATATCGACACTATAATTTTGCTCATTATTTCTTTTATAAAAGTACTGCGAGATTCAGTACAATGTGGAAATGTATATATTTGAAGATACTACGCGTGTAATTGTATACATTACATTTATAGACAGGCTATGACATTATCAACTTTATTTTATTACATGGTGCTTGAGAAAATTTGTCATTGCTTCGTTGAGAACGGATCTATTCTGAAAAGAATCTTTTTATGTCGTTTACGAATGTCCTTAATATAGTAACCTTTATCAACAATCGCAATGATAAATATTCTCTATTCTTTTGTAAATAATATTTACGATGTAAGTTTATCGAAAAAAAAGATTCTAGAATGAACTAATAGCGTAATTTTATGAAGAACAAATATTGTTACTTGGAACGCGTATTGTACGGGTATGCTACTATGTAGCGTTTCTATCGATGAGTACTATAATTTTAATATGAAACTATTCCCTGTAAATGTTTCACACTGCTGTTAATTGTGACCGAAGTGTTGTACACATCATAAACGGATTCAAGACTTATACCATTCGGAATTTTTTATTCGCCTTGTCATTAAAAACGATTTTTATTAGTAGGTTGCGTATTTTTATACAAATTTATTTTGTAGACATTAACTTACGGAACTATAAAGTAACGCGGGACTATCAAATTCTATTGAAAGTCCAGTTGTTGTTTATTATATGAATGCATAAAATTCTGCAGTTCGATTGTTACATCTGATAAAAAAAATCCTTCGACGTTGGCAGTCAATGTCGAGCTCTGTCGCGATCTCGTCGTCGATCCCGATCTCTGTCTCTATCTCTGTCCCTGTCATCTCTTCTATGTCGGTCTTTATCTCTGTCCTTATCTTTGTGCGAGGATGAATGACCTTTCGGTGATTTACTCCGTTTCCGTTCTCGTCTATCTCTATCTCTGTCTCTGCTTCTTGACCGCTGTTTCTCTCTATCAGACTTTTTATCCGATCGCGAGTGCCTCTTGTCTCTGTCTCTATGTCTGTCTCTTTCTCGTTCGTGATCATCTGTTCTCTTTCGTGTGTCTTCTTTAACAGGAGGAATATCTTCGTCCTCTGATGTCTCTATTCCTTCATCCATGTCATCTTCTAATGCAGACACCTTTGCCTCTGTAGGGAATATATTAATTATTAAACAACTATATAGCAGAAATGTTAGTACATGAAACCATACCTAATTCATTATTCTCTTCTAGTACATGTCTCTTCTGTATCCTTGGTAAAATAACATCACAACTTCTCTCTTCTCTTAGAAGTTCATCTATGAACTCGTCCATATGAATCAGCTCAAATTTACCTTGTTTATTCTGCTTTCTAAGTTTTCTATTGTCATTAAATAGTGGCTCTAGATATTTATAACAATCTAGAGATGATCCTGTTAATCTCATATATAAGGCTCCCAATGCACGAACATACTTGAACTCCTCATTCTTTATAAATTCAACTATAATATCCTTTTCGGGTTGTATTTGCAGCATTTTTAATATGAGGCATAGGAACGGTGTTGGTTTCACATTTCCACCGAACACACCACCTATAAACCTAAAATAATCCATACAAAATGTTTGTTTACATCGTATACATTGGTTATGCATCAAATTGTTAACAGGTCGAATTATTTCTGAAACGAAGGTGTTAGAAAAGTGGATATAAATAAAGCAATAAGCATTTCAGAAAAATAAACTTAAAAGGAAATATGTTTAAGGAAACACTTCTAAGGAAAATGTTAACTAACCTTAACTCCATAGCTTTGTCGACTAAAAGCTCTGCGGTTAAGGCAAAGCATTCTTCTTTCCAATATTTTGAATCATACACTCGAGATCTGATGATTTTCTCAACTAAATATTGTGGATTTGTACCTCGAATTGATTTTGCATCTTTTACAGTGCGATTGGCCATTATTCGAAACTTTGAGGTTAAAGTTATACATTTGAAAGTTACACCCACGATCTGCACAACAGCGGTGCCATCTATGACGGCGAACCTTCATTTTTAAGTAATCTTTGTCAGGTACGTAAGAAATAATTAATTTCTCATTTTTGTAGACATAATCGATACCATTTTACAGTAATTGAATCTAGAATGATGCCTCAGCTATGAAGGGCTAGAGTAGTCACGTGACTTCATGGATTCAGTAAGTTGATATCTAGCAGTACAGATTTCGTTGCAGAAATGGTATTACCTAGAGATATATCTTTTGTTCCTATGTTTTTTAATAGTTTTATAGAATCGAGGGAAGTATAAACAATTGTAGATCATGTTAATATTTTGAAAAATTGTAAGACAAAAATGTTGTATGTATCAGGACATTTAGAGCCTCGCATATAACATGACATAAAGCATTTGAAATTGGAATGGATCTTCGAGATTTTAACGTTTTACCACTGGAATATTGCAGCGCTGCAGTCAGTTGAACTGTATAGAATTATGAACTATCGATCATAGAAAGTCGATGTATCGAGCAGATGATTGTTTTTGCTAGAAATTTGTGAGGTGTCATAATAAATACGATGCCTGCCACAACAGTGCATAAATTTATAACATTTATTGGTATATTGTCGATACTGCATGCTGCTTATTCGGCTGCACAACGTATGCATCATTCGTGTATTTAATATTTCAGCTATTCGAATGTATAATGTGTTAGGTTAACTGTGGTATTCTTGCAGATCGTTCTTACTTACGAATAACGGAACAAGAGTTTACTACTTTACCAATTGATGTAAGTATTGAACAATTATTAAATTTAATCTATAAAATACATGATTAATAACATTATATATATGTATTCTAGATCTTAATACAAGGTATTGTCAGCTTATTTATGGTTATGTACGGTATTATGTACATTGCCGGCGATTTCAAAGAAATTCGAGCGGTAGTCGACTTGGAAAATAAGTCTTGGGAAACTCTACGGAACCTTCCATCATTCCAGGTGTTTAACCATCGTGGTAGATACTTGTACTCGGAGTATATGTAATAAACGTATCTGTATTAAATTAATTTGTACAAAATGTAGCTTTATTGCGGTTTACTAAAAATCATAACAAGAATTCTAGAAATATTTTTTCACACTGTAACCACCACATATGCCAAACAATATTTTATAGTTTTAACGATGAAAAACAATCAAGATGCTGTAGAACACGGCTTCAATTTCTTATTCTGTATTTAAAAATATACACGAATGTATACATACTTTTTATGGACACAGCTATAAAATATAAATAAAAAAAGAATGTTGATATTTTTGTTCCAATTTTTAGCTATGCACTGTATATTTATTTTATATGAAACAACGAATGAATAGCAAAAGCTTAACTCTATACAGAGACATCACTTTTTCTGCTTCTTCTTCTCAGCCTCTGCCTCCTTCTCCTTCTCAATTTCGGTAACATATTTTTCGATAATGTCGGAATCTAGCATCTATAACGGTAAATACATTAACAATAAATAATACATTTTTAGGCAAATCATCATCCAATCGTACTGCAAATTTTATACCTGTAAAGGTTGACCGCGTCGCATCACAGCAATTTCTAGATTTTTTTGCCCAGATTGTACTACCTCCAATAAAGCTCTGATAGCTAACTTTATAGAACCTTTCTCTGTTGCCACTTCTTCCGGTGTGTAATATTTTTGTAGAAATTCATGAACCGTTTTAGCATTTCTACCCGTAGCGTTTGCCTAAGTAAAGAAACAAATCATATGTTTTGATCGCTTTTATAATTTTGAAAAATTGTACCAAGGGATGTACCTTCCACTCGTAGTAAATGCCAGAGGGCTCTGTTTGGTACAAGTGGGGGACTCCGTCATAATCGAATCCAGCTAAGAGACACGATATTCCGAAAGGTCTTCTACCATTGCTTTGAGTATACTTTTGTTTTAATCCTGAAAACAATATGTATAGTTATCGGTTTATCCACGAGCAATAGAATGCACGCATTATGTTGATTTACCTGCTATATATCTAGTTATGTACTCTAGAGTAACAGGATCTTCTACGGTTAATCTATAGCTCTGACATTCGATTTGCGCACGATTTATCAAGACTCTCGCATCGGCGGTTAAACCTGCAAGCGAAAGCACTGTGTAGCTTTTGGTAAACAAATATTGCAGAGGTAAGAATATTAAATCGAACCTGCAAATGCCATCACAACGTGTTCATCTAGAAGACATATTTTACGGACTGTGCGTTCTTCTTGCAGCTTCGCCACGGACTTCTTTTCAACGCCTAAAACTACAACGTCGTTGCCGCGAACACCAACCTAAAATATACGAAACGAAATCGTTGAAGGCAAAGCGATGAAACGAGAGTGTTCACCGACCAAATTTACAGAGAAGAGACCGGCGTATTCGATGCTGGAAATACAGAATGAGTTTCTACAAGGTTTACCGCAAACACGAAGAGAGGTTAAGCTACATATATCGACGTACCGCTGTAGAACCTTTCCTGACAGCTTCTTGAGCATATTCCACTTGGAGCAAATGTCCATCGGGCGAAAATACCGTTATGGCCCTGTCGTACCTGGTTGTCATCGTTTCAACTTTAGCGAAAGAGCACACGAATCTATTAAACACACGAAATGACTTGACCGTTTTCAAAGCGAATTGTACTCATTCATCTGCACGGCGAGATTCTACTTGTTGCCGGTAGAGGGTAACACGACGCGTCTTGTATGAATCTGTTTTCTAACGCTGTTTCAAAGATTGGATGACTTGACTTTTCTTTATTACTCGTTTATTGGAAAAAATGAAACAAGGGTTGCATAATTTCGTCACAAGTTAACGTTCGGTATTGATATTGTTAACGTTCGATGCGTCGTAGACAAACGTTTAATGTCCACGTAATATCTTCATGGAACGAAAAAACAAAAACGAAAAATAGTTTCAGAGCACATGTTGCATTTCACGGGGAAAAACGTCGATAAAATCAGTATTTATTTCTCTCAACAATGGTTCGCGTAATCGAAAAGTTTGAAAATATTCCGCGATCACTATTACGATGATATATTGCTAATTGATACCGTAAAAGCCCTTTCAATTTCTATACAAAAAATTTGCTTTTTTTTTTCTGGTGTGCAATTTTTACCACTTGGATTTTCAGTTGAAAATTCGGAAAAAATTGTAAATGCTAAAAAAATTGCAGAAGATGCGTACCAATAGCTGTAATATGTTAAATTTTTGTCAAAAGCGCATACCAGGCAGCTTGATTCTAATTTTTCTTTTTTATTTTTGTATACAACTACAACAGCGACGGCTGTTCTTCCGGTAAAATTTCATACAAAACCTTTTTTCACGACATATCCAACGATCCGCTTAAATCTGCATAAACTCATTTTTTACGATCTCGTGCGACGACACGCGAGGAAATTCGATGGCCGCCAAATCCTTTAGGATTTTCCGAAATTCATGATTCCAGGGATCGATCGGCTTGCCGATCTTGGAACGGAAGTCGATGGCATGGAAATGGTTGTCTTTATCAGGAAGATCAAAGAAATTGTGGTGCATTTGATACGATCAAATGTAAGACAGTAGTGGGGATGAATAGGTAGAATCAGTATTGTAACGAGTACGTATAAGAGACAACGATCGGCTTGGCGAAACGTTTAGTCAAGGTTGAGCGCTCTCCTGTGCCGTGTTTGCTTGCGCAGCATGATCGGGTTAGTAAAGATATTTCTCTCTATTCGATATTGTTCGCTGTAATAGATTACGTTCCATTGGCATTCACGTTTTCGTCAGTCGTGAAAAACCGGCGCGCTATCGTCATCGAAACGGCCGGCCGTAGTCGTTTCGTTATCGAAGACAATATCCCATATAAAAGCATTTTAGACGATCGCGTCCGAAAGAGTGACGGCGATCCGCGATCGTTCTCGATCGTAAGCCGATCGCTCGTTCTTGACACGTTTTTTTAACATGCGCGCGGATGTCACAATAACGTGTCCGTCGATTTTTTTCCAAACATATTGTTACCGAACGTTCGATCGGTTAACACATTGCCCTGATAATTGGCGAAGCAAACAGCCCAGTCGTGTTCCGTATCATCGTGTCTCTCAGTGTCAAGGAGATTGTTGTCTATGCGTTGTAACAAAACTTGTTCGTTACGCGACCGTCTCTATTTTCCAGCTGCACGTTGTGCTGTCCGTTTCGTTCAGTTTCTTTTCGTCGCGTTCCTATCCGTTCCAGAGAAAGGAAAAAAAACCGAGCGCCGCGCGAATACGTTCGCGTTTTAATGGGGCGATCGCATGTCGCGCCAATTGTCATTAGATCTTGGCCGCGCTATAATAACATCTTGCATATTTGCAATGTAACAATCTTTGTTTGACGATGGTTATTGAAACCCGCTGCTACAGCGGCGCGATACAATTATTTTATATTGGACGTCCGCGCGCTTTCGACGAACGTGCAGAGCGAAAGCGTTCTTACGCCGCGACGTTTCGACACGATACCTCGTCGCGTGTCACGAATATTCGTGTACAATTATCGTCGAATATTGTTTTCTGTCCCTTCGATAGGATAGAATTCGCCTCGATCCGCGTTAAAATCGATCGATGAAACGCGGATCGAGATACGTGCCTGCATTCTGTTTTTGTTGACTGTATGCAAACAGTAGAAGACTTATCTACGAAAGCACACCGCGACGAAACATTTTGCGAAGTTTAAGTAAAGAAAAAAAACAGACTGTATCGGAACACGATGTTAAGTAACAGACCGCACGAGTTTTGTAAATCGAAAAAGATGCTTACTCAGGATCTTCGACGAACAACTACGAGCAATTTATTTTCATTATACCGAAACGGCTACAAACAACCGCGAATCGTCGTAAAGTTATTCCGCTGTTGTATGATGCCGGATCAGATAATGCATTATCGACTCAAAAGTATTGTTGGCATTTGAAAGGGAAATTCCCGGCAGATAACTCCCGCACTCTGTGTATTCATTAGACATTCTAACATCCAATTTTCATTAACTCGGATGATCGTTGCAACACCGCTTGACCGGTTGGTTCGCACTTCGCTCGTACCGAGGATGATTCAATCGCCTCGGTAAGCAAATTGTTTTTTTTTCGATTAAGTCTACCAGATACTAAAAGTCGTTGGCATGCGTTGCCTTGAAGAAATGCCGATAACGTGATTTTTCCCTTTTCGAAATCTTAGAGTATCTAAAGCAAGAAATGTCTACAATGTCGGCGAACATTGAATAAAAACTCGACAACGAGTCGCTTCAACGTTCAAAATAACATCGGACAATTATCCAAGTGTTGTAAGACCGAGCAAAGGCGACGGCGTTCCGTGAATCATTACACACAAGCTTGCAATCCGTGAATCGGCAGAATCAAAACTATGCAATACGCGAAGATGATGGGAGTTTTTGTCGCCGATAACGATAAGAACCGGCTCGACAAAAGCCCGTGGCCGAAAAGTCGACAGTTATCGCCAGACATGTTTGACGTTTCATCGAAATTATAATCGGATACTATATTCCACGATACAGGCCGCGTGGGAAGAAGAAGCTCTTGATCGGAGGGGTGGTCGCCGCCATTGCGATAGGCGCGATTATCGCGATTTTGGTGGTGCTGCTCGTTAAAAAGTCCGACTCGGAACCGAACAACGCAAACTATGGAGTGTACACGAAGGTAAACTTTGGAATCGAGAGTAAAATACGAAGAGTCGAACGTATTCGAATTTCTTTGGCAGGCTGCGGTGTCCACCAATGGGCAAGAATGCGCGAAGATCGGTGCGGATATTCTCAGAAAAGACGGATCGGCTGTGGACGCCGCGATAAGCGCCCTTTTATGCGAGGGGGTCGCGTCTCTGCACAGGTAAAATCATTGGCGAATCGTTCGAATCTCAAATTCGAATCCGAATCGTAAAATAACTTCGTTATCGTTCGCTATCTTCCAGCGTGGGATTAGGTGGTGGATTTTTAATGACGATCTGGGATGCTCAAACGAAGACCGCGAGATATCTGGATGCTCGAGAGACTGCTCCCGCGAAAGCGACGGAAGACATGTTTAAAGGGAATGCTTCGTTGGCGACTTATGGTACGTGATCTTTTTCTCCTACTATCAGTAACCCTTGATCACGGTTTAGAATTACATAGATCTGGGCAAATTTCAAATGACATTGTTCCAAATGTTATTTGAAATAACATGTTACTTTATTTTACAATTATTTGAAATAACATATTATTTTATTTTGCAATTTATATGGTTTATACCGACATCGTTCGCATTACCGTTTATTCGGCACAATGCTGCAACCTCTGTTTTACATGGAACCCGCTGAATTTACACGATCGAGCCCCCACTCTGCTCTTCTACCACCATAATTATGACTAATAGAAATTTTGATCGGTGCTTATGCGCAGTTTAATGGAGTGAAAACAACTCCTGACAAACGTTTGTATATTTTCTTCTGTGTTAAAATCTCAATAACAGCAAAATATATTTCAATAAGTTCGAGCGATCGTTTCATTTTTGACGATCAAACTGTATACGAAGACTATTTTTTTGAATATTGTTAGAAGAATCGTATCTCTCCGTAAATTCTTTGTTTCATATTATTTTTAGGATCATTCCTTTTATCGTATTTGAAATACGAAATGACCGATTATTATGTTTACAACCGATTCCGAGATAACTGATCGATTGTAGTTTCATTCTCAAATAACGACATTGAAAATAACGATTCGAAACAAAGTAGTTCAAGCATTTATTTCTTGTTCATATTTATCTGTTTGTGAATTTAATGTAAACAAACGATATAACTTTTCGGCCCCCCTAATAGTTTGCCCAGGTGTGGAAGTACAACCGTGGTCAAGAACCTCAGTTTTCAATGTTACAACACAGAGTATCTGACTTGTTTACTTTTTGTTTTACTTCTCCGCCGTTGTCATTGACTTCTCCCACACGTTATCTACCGGCGATTATTTCACTCAGAAAACAATGAACCGTATCAAAATATTATTTGCGAACAAAACGAGTCTCTCTTGGTAAAATAAGATGTTTAGGTTCACGTTTGCCGTGCGACATTGAATATCCCATTAACGTACAGTGACTCGCAAAAGTGTTCGTACACCTTTTAAAACGCAATAACATTCTTAAAATTGGAGTAGATGACTCGAATGCTACTTAGATGATAGTGGAACTAGTCTATTATGTTAATGACTAATGTTAGTTAATGTAGTTAATGCTTTCTTTTAAATATTGCTATTACTTGGGATGACGAAGAAAAAAAAAAGAGAAATCTCTCGTTTTCTAACTTTTTTGTTCAGGACTAAAATAAAAATTTAACAAATGCTTTTCGTAAATTTTATTATAAAAATGTTTTCGTAGATCAGAGTTAACCCGCAGTCAGGGCGTTGAAAGATTGAAAAAAAACCTGCACATTTCTCACAGTTTTTGGTCAAAAGCGTGAAAAATCGTGACGAAACTGCGATCTTTGCGGTCTTTAATTTGTTGTAACTAATAAAACAACGTCAACCGATTTCGATAAAACTTTCGGCATGCATATAAGTTATACCGAGGTCTGCGATAGATATTTTCCAAATTTTCGTTACAGGCTCATCTGAAGTAATAGCAAAATTTAAAAAAAATGCATTATAGTCCCTCTATCGTTAAAACAAAAAAATTCAAGTCATTTAATATAGTTCGATAAAAGTTATTATATTTCCTCTATCGTTAAAACAAAAAAATTCAAGTAATTAATATAATTCGATAAAAGCTATTATATTCCCTCTATCGTTAAAACAAAAAAAATTCAAGTCATTTAATATAGTTCGATAAAAGCTATTGTAGTCCCTCTATAGTTAAAACAAAAAAAATTCAAGTCATTTAATGTAGTTCGATAAAAGTTATCGCGTTTTAAAAGGTGTACGATCGCTTTTGTGGATCACTGTACGTCTAGTAGTTAAAGTGTTAAAAATAAGCGATTGATAAATAAAGTGACACTGTTACGATTACGATCGACAAGGTGGTCTAGCGATTGCTGTGCCGGGTGAATTGGCCGGTTACAAGGCAGCTCATGACAAGTACGGGAAGATTGGATGGGCCGACTTGTTCACACCGGTGATCGCCCTGTGCGAGACCGGGTCCATCGTGAACGATTATCTGGCTGGTTACCTGTTACGCAAGGAGAAATTGATAAGGGAGCAGAGCACCTTGGCAGAGATTCTCATCGATCCGGCGACGAACTCCACGTGGAAGGTAACGAGCAATTGCTTCCTGCCCATCGGTACGCCGAACGAACCAGCCTGATGATTACCGAAAGACATTGCTCCCCTTAGACAGGCGATAGGATCAAAAGGCCGCGTTTAGCGGAAACACTGAGGTCGATAGCGCGTCACGGGCCGAACATATTTTACAACGGCTCCATAGGTGAGAAGCTGATCCAGGAAATTCGGGAGGCGAGAGGCATCATGGAGATGGACGATCTGCGAAATTACGCGGTGGAATGGAGGACACCGATCCAAACGAAGATAGGGAACATAACGATCGTTACCGCACCGCCACCGGGATCAGGGACGATCCTTACGTTCATCATGAACCTTCTTCGCGGACTCATCCCCACCGCGGATCGGAATGTCATGTGGCAGCGATTCGTCGAAAGCTTCAAGTGGGCTTACGCAAAGAGAACCCAATTAGGCGATCCCAAGTATGTCCCTGTCGGTGAGTCTCCCGATATCGATGTAATCTTTTGAGCATCGTGTAACATCGCTCTTAGATAAGTGCGAACGGTACGCGGCCGTTTGTAACCGTTTCTCTGTTGTGCGACACAATTAAGCGGCTCAGCCGTTCGAGATACGCGGCGACATCAGTCTCAATCGCCTCAATTATCGCGAAACCCTACGGTGAGCCCGCCTGTACTTAGCAAATTAATTATCGCCGGCTGCGCGTGATCAACCGATGCTTCGTAACACGTTCGTCGCGTGCATTTTTTTTCGCTCCTACTGCACTCGACTCTTTCTATCCTATAAAAATCGTTGGCGCTTGTTCGACGTCGATTATGTTGCGATAGTAAAAAGAAAAAGGAAAAAATGGCGCATCGTCGACGTTCGATTTGAATTCGAGACGATTTATGGCGTGCGGAATTTAATAGAATTGTCCTGTCTAGATTCATTGATCCGCAACTTAACGTCCGCGTCGTATGCCGATGCGATTCGAAGTAACATCAAGGACGACACGACGCACACCAATCCGGAATACTACGGCGCTGTCACGGTCGTACCGGAGGATTCGGGCACATCTCACGTGTCCGTGCTGGCTCCTGATGGCTCCGCCGTATCGGTCACATCTACTATAAACCAAGTGTACGTTTATTAGCCTGACAAACGCTTCTCGATGAACCAGATAAATCGAACCTTGATAATTGACTTCACAATCAATTACATGAGAATTTTTAATCGACTGTTTTTTATAAATCTAAAGGTTATGTGAAGGTTATGTCAATGTTCAACGGCTAATAGAGCGTACTTCGATTATACAGTTTTGGCGCTATGCTACGTTCAAAGTCTACCGGTATAATCTTCAACGACGAGATGGACGACTTCAGTTCTCCGAACATAACTAACGGCTTCGATCTTCCACCGTCACCGTCCAATTTCATTGAACCGAGAAAAAGACCTATGAGCTCCATGAGTCCAACGATAGTTGTAAGTACCCTCGCATCAGAAAAATTATCATTCGTTACCATACCATAGACATCCTTTAAAGCGGTATAACTTTTTTCGAACTGGACTAAATGACTTGAATTGTTTTGGAGACGATAGAGTACTTCAGCACTTTAGTTTCTTTAACATCTTTAAAAAAATTCAAGTCATTTGGTCCAGTTTAAAAAACACATATGTATACCGTTTTAAAGAGCGTTCACATATATTATACGTATTTGCAGCTGCGACTTCATTGTTATGATTTTTCCAAAGATCGACGAAAATGAAGAGGTTCGTCTGGTAATCGGTGCCGCCGGCGGAACGAAGATCACTTCCGGTGTCGCGATCGCAATGGTGTTGAACCTTTGGTCGGGAAAAACGATAAAAGAAGCGGTCGATATTCGTAGAGTTCATCATCAGGTAAGCGAACGTTGAATATTTTATCGATCGATCTCGTACGATTTTGAAAACGGGTGAGCAAAGCCGGTCTTTTAAATTTTCAGCTGTTTCCCATGGAGGCGCAAACTGAGACAGAATTTTCTCAGAATGCGATGAACTATTTGAAGAGTATTGGACATAACGTTACGACGTTCTCTGGAATCGGAAGCGCGCTCACGGCTGTGTCGAGAGAAAATGGGAAGGTGTATGCTATTTCCGATTTTCGGAGGCAAGGAAAAACCGATGGTTTTTAGGCAATTTTTTTAATATACGGACAGGCCTTGTTTCTGTTTTATTTGTGTCGAGAAGGTCGAAACGCGTTTAAAAACAATCATGGCTCGATAACGGTTAACGTTTTGTCTATCAGAAGTTTATAATTGACAGTCGAACCTTTTAATCAATTCTTCAATGACAATTTTAATCGTTGATCAAGATGATATCTCGAGCAATACGATCAAGTAGAACTTTCTTTCGGGATTGTTATCGAAGGGAAGATGGCATTAGGTCACCGATAGACGAAGCGTTGAGAACTACCAACGAGATGCCAAAATACTCTTGAATACCTCGTTCGCTCGTTCAACAAGTATTATTAGAATAAGTATTTGAAACGGGTAGAGAACTATTCATCAGAAAAAAAAACTGGAATCAATGTATAAAGAATGATAATGTCCAGTTACGTATTTACAACATTTGACCGAAGCGATTGTATTATTCATTATTCCAATGCGCAATATTAGGTGGGTCCATTGCATCTCTTGTCAAGCTACGAGTGTAAGTGTTGCATGTATTTGACGATACGCCGTTGATTTGTATGTCTCAAATAAGTTGATGAACACATGTTATAGAAATATAATTTATTTAAAAAAACGCAATCACAAATATCTCTGAATTATTTACACAAATGATACTTACCAATCGTTTATGTGCTTTGGTACTACGAACTGCCGCTGTCGCTTTCCGAAAGTCCAGCTTCTTGTTTTATTTTCCTTACGCAGCGCTTCACTTTCTTAGTCTTGTATAATCCTTGTTTCGATTTTCGAACTACCTCGATCGCGTGCAATTTTTTCTTCAAAGCTTCAGCTCTGTCCTTCTCTCTTTGCGGTATGTAATCTTCGAGGCTCGCTTTGCTACTAGCAGACGCATTAAAAACTTCCGACTCGTTTGTTTCTGGCTCCGTGATTATCTGCGTGTCCGTCGAATCCTTCTTTTTCTTCGTACCCCCCGTCGATGTAATCGGTCTTTTTTTCCTAAGAGGTTGCCGCGCGGTTTCCGCGATTTCGGTTTCCTCTTCCATGTGCGGATTATTCAACCTTTGCACAGCTTTCTGTACCCGTTTACTCAAGTTAACGTCGATCGACTTCGAAGTTACACTTTGCAGTCTAAAATAAGTATCTATGAACTTTTGGTTCTGCTTCTCTTCTAATCTCTTCAATATCGGTGTCATGATCTCGGTGAACTTTTCTTTGGTCCATCCGAATTTCTGTTTCGCATAATCCAACAAAAGAATCGTGTTAGGTTTGCCCCAGCTGAAGGCTTCTTTTGACTCGTCTATCTTTGGGACCAGATACGCCTGCACGACGGCTTGACTCGGAAAACCTGTGGTTAAAGAGAATTGATTTGATTAAAAGCACGTCGAAATCGTAGGAAATTGTGCAAACCTTTTTGAATTTTCAAGTTCTGCAGTTTGTTTCGCAGACTGGCTTTTCCGGGACCCGCGGTTCTGCCGCTTGCGACCCACGAACAGAAACTTGTCAAACCTCGCAATAAATCGTCTCCTTCCGATGGAAAAGCTGCTAATATTTCCAAGGCGGTGACGGGACCGATACCAGTCAAACCAGTAGTATAATCGCTACCGACTAACAAAGCGAGTCGTATCAATTCGTTGCGCGTTAATTCTGAAACATGATATTACGTCTTGTTAGAAACTTTTGAAATACGTTTCTTCAATCCAGAAATTTAATTGCACCTAATTAAGTTAATATAGAAAGTCTATGGACAGATGTCGAAGCGATATCATAATTAAACTTACTGAAATGGTGTTGTATATCGACAGAACGATACCGTAGGACCTTTTTAGTGCTGTCGAAAAAATTCTTGTAAACGCATTGTCCTCCGAACAGCCAAATATCTGAATCGTCCGTGATCGTTCCATCGGTGAGATGAATTTGCTCCAAGTATGCACACTGGGCTTCTGCTTCCATGGGCGCTATAACGTATGGTATTCCGAATAATCGTAAAAGTTCCTGTCGATCAAGCAGATTCCTTTTGTATTCTATTGTGAAGAGAAAGTTACCTTGCATACATAGTTCATTGATAGCTTGCGAATCTCTCTACTAATTGATATTGCTGTACCTGAGCTTCACTGGATACTTGTTTAGAAATGTCAATACCCTGTCTCTGTAGTTTACCAATGTTCGTCATCAATTCTGATTGCTCGTCTTCCAAACGTGCCTGAAAGCAAAATGTATTAAGTGTAAATAATATTAATAGAGCCAAACGAATATTTATATACCTTCAATGACAACAATTCTTCTTCGTTCACAGGAAAAGGACTCGTCTTTGATGGATCTGTGACTGACGTGCTTGCATCTATAGTACCTTCTACGTTCGTAATCTCGGTATTGTTATGACTAGAATCATTCGCATTATCAATACTGTTTGTCTCATCTGTATCTTCGAATTGTGTATTTACAGTCTCAAAGTTATTAATGTTCGTATCACCAATTTTCGTTGTACCAGACCGATCTTCAACCTTCTCTTCTGCCGTTTCCACAATTGTTTCATCCAGGACATCGGTTTCCAATATTTTTGAACGATCGGAAGAACTTTCTTCCAATTTTTCAAGTCGTTCAGTGTTCGTTGATATATTTTCGGACTTTGATTTTATCTCTTCGGATTTTGACTCGTTGTTCGATGTCCCAAACACATCCGCGAACATGTCATCTTCTATATTTTGATCTGAGCTAAATGTTATTTGAATACCTTGTTGCGAAGTGCTCTTCTTAATCTCGCTACAGCCAAAATCTAAAGTCGGTACGTCTTCAATTTCTATAAAGTCCGAGTCCGATTCTGATGAACTGATTATCGTCGCTATTTCTGGCTCTGTTGTCGATATTTTTGTGATCTCAATGGACGACAAGTTATTATCAGATTTCACAGTCGATTCGCAAGATTCGATTTCCGGAGTTCCTAATGATTCTACAGGTTCTGTAGTCTCTACGTCGGTAAGTTCTTCGTTATCTTTACTATCGCTGTTACTGCTCTTTATTTCAAGAAAATCAAATTGTTGCGACTGTTTTGCAGCCTCTTGCGGAGGCTTGCTATCTTCCTTGCTGCGTTGTTCAAGAAGAGTCCATATTTGATCTTCCGTTAATCCGCTGTATTCTAGCATGTATGACAGCGCAGGATTTACAACGTGTTTGCCAAAATATTTTTTAGGCGGTGGTCGCGATTCCTTCCAGTCTGTTGCGGAATGTGTCTCGTTACTCGATTTTTCCATAGGTGGTTTAGAAATGGTCATAGCAGTTATTTCAACATCGCTGTCCCATTCATCATCAAACTGGTATTCATTCATATCCTCGCCTATTGGTACATCTTTGCTAGTGCCAGGTACCGGCTCTTCTACCTCATCTTTATTTTCAGTAACGACATTTTCTTCGTTTGAATTCTGGCTGTTACTAATATTCTTAATGTACGCATTCTTATCTGCAACATGCAGTTTATGATAAAAAAAAGATATAGTCAGTTGCAATCGGAAACGTTATAAAAAGAGTACAAAAACATACCACTGATGTAAAGTAGTCTAGTCGTACTATCGGCCGCTACGCGAAAGGTACAGTCTCGGTTACCGGTACTTATGCCCTGTTCAGTCAACAGTTTCTCTAATTCCTCCAATGTTAGCGACTTTCCTCCCATTTCTTTTTCCGCGAACTCTAAACTCTGCTGAACTAATCTACGCTTCAATAAGCGTTTCATTTGGAAACCAGAAAAATCATGCGACTCCTAAACGGATACAGGTACTTTAAAGAAACGAAAACAATCGATATTAGCTTTGAAAATAGATAAATACTTCGGGCATTTCGTGTAAACGACCCCACGAATTTTGCTTTCTCGTTTCCTTGAGATCAGTCAGAATTTCATAGCGCACGTCTGCTGGCAAAGCTTTAAATTCGGAGCTACCCACATCCACATTGTGAATATTCCCGATCCATTTCGTTTGTTTCCGTGGGCTTAGTTCGATGGACGACGAATCTGAATCGTAGTCATCGCTCGGACTTAATTCTGCTGGACACGTGCTCGGCATGTCAGGTAATTTAAACATATCGTCTACAGACTGTTTATTCTGACTGCTCAAGATCGCTTGAGTAGAGCTGTTATTAACATTTTCTTCTTCCGGATTAAGAACCGTTTTTATAGCAGAATGTTTTATCAAGTTATTTATTAATTCTGTTCTCATCTGTGTAGCTTTATTCTTGGCCATAGATTTCTGTTTCCTGCGTAAGGCCTGTGAACACAAAAGAATAAGAGCCTCTTTTCTCACTACCTGGTTCCCACGGCTAACTAATTATGTACAGACAATATTATAGTCAAGATAAAAGTACAGTTTCATTAATGCGTATATACACTGTACACTTCAAATGACTTCAAACATGAAGTTGCTATTGGTTTGTTTAAAAAGTTAAGTAGGCTTTAACATGAAAAATTAATATTTACAATTGTGTCCCTTTTAAGCATTGGAACACCTCCATCGAATACGAATATCGGCTTGATCTTGTAATACATCAGCTTGCAAATTCTATTGAATAAACCAATAAGATGCGCATTGGGTTTAAGATTACCAAAACGATCTTGATATCCTTGCAATACTTGGTGTATCCAAATGGAAATATCTACAGGATTAAAAAAAATTATATTAACAGAAGGATAAAGATAAAAGATAATACGAATTTGACAAAGTGCAGATATTAAAAAATATACCAATGGCTAAAACTTTTCCTTCCAGCGTCTCCAATGGAACTTGATTTCCTGCTGCATCAAGTAAACGCCAGAGGCCATGAACTCCCATTATGTTTGATGGTGTACCTATAAACAAAACACTGTTTTATCAACATAGATTATACTGTATAAAACCCACAGTACATATTAAATGTTAATACATTAGTATGTTTATGTATAATACTGATACTATGTCTACACTTACAATATTATATTAACATCAGATGTAAGTTTATTCATAACCTAAAGTGACAAGTAGTTACATACTTACGAATCACTAAAAAATTGATTATTTGTTAAAATAGTTCTTCCAGTGTATAATTTAGACATGTCAATGTTTCGTGATAAAAACTGCTTACCTTATAATGCATTAACAAATACGAAAATTTGTGAAGTTTTGCGCGTATCGACATCGCACCGCATCGGTCAGCTGGTCACCGTAACAATGCGCTTGTACGCGTAAGGCGCGCTACATTTACATTCACAACATGGAATACTTAAAGCTATACATGTAATAACTCGGCATTTACAGATTCACCAAACGAGAGTATAACGTTATTATTATAGCCTGTAATTATTTGCTTGAAATGCTTTGATCATCGAAACTAAACGATAAGTACAATTTGAATTTGCAACTCTTTTTGTTACATCTTTTAAAAGTCGACACATATTCTACTCTGCACACTTCTATAGAAAAGATTTTCATAAATGCATTTCTTGATGCACAGTTACTCGAATTATACATAATCAGATTAAGTAATGATTGAACTTGTATTTAAATTGCATTCGAGTCATAACATTCGTATACGTGAAATAATTAAGTCAAAGTTATACATATGGCAAAAGTTAAGTAACTCGTAATTGCATTTCGACTGCATGCGTTAACAGAAAGTTTCGATACAAAGCGGGATCAAATATCGTAAAACTTGCCAAAAAGTATGGAACTTTGATGAAATATCAAAATGAAAATATATACACATTTAAATCGAACGTTCATTGTTAATATTTACAGATGCTCCAATTACATGGAATAAGAAAAAAGCGTTGGGGAAGAGGTTGATTTGTTTGTTGATACGCAATCGTTCGTTCTATATTGCGCCGTATCAATTTCTTGAATATTTGTGTGACTCGCATGCAAACACGTAACGTAATACGTGAAATATATTTGTGTGTTTCCTCGAGTCTTTCGTAGGCATATGCACACACTCATAGCCACGACGTATATATATCGTATCGTCATCATCAGAGAAGTGAAGTGAAGTGAGGTAGAGGCCACCCACTCTTTCCCACAGCAGGTTTTTCCCACGCCCCCCAGGGTAACCCCAACATCCTTTTGCGGCAGCAATTCCACGGCACCTACGGGGTAGAGGGGAATAGCTCACGTCAGGTGGGGAACAAGAGGGGAAACTGGAGGCGCTTGGGTCGACCAGGCCATTGTACAACACTAAAACAATAGAATCTGCAGCTCTCAGTGGCGTAACAAATCGTCTAAACACCGGAGTGCTTGTTAACGTGCATAGAATCGGTCCGAGAATTTCCCTAAATTTTTCCTCAAACTTTTTCGTCTATAACAAGAATCATACGATTTTCTCGTCTGGGAAATAAAATTGTAATTCTCAGAAAAATATTGAATGGTCTCAACAAGAAATAATAATCGAATGTCCGACTTTCCCGCGAAAATATTTTTACTTAACTTCGGTACTTCGTTCGGAATTGGTTGTGTTTTGCCAGAAAATAAAGAATTTTCGAATTATGCAGCGGAAAAAGATTTTGCTTCGGTGCGCCTTACTGTCCTTCGTAGGTACGCGCCTGTTACAGCCACTTACGCGGTAGTAATAACTCTACGTGTCGTTTCGAACTTAGTTGGTTGGCGAATATCGTCGGGAGAGGTTGTGTCTTCTGACGTTTCACACAGTTTTCTGGGACCGATGTTTACGATTTATAGTTAAGTTCATGGCAATAGAGTTACAGTTGACTGAACAATCGTGGAATTAAACAGATTGCCATGAATTTTCAATCGGTGCACCGAAACGTAATGTTTATGAGTTGGATTTAAAGTGGCGCGCGCGGCGAGGCGAAATCATTTTAAACGGTTGGCAAGACTGTTCGGAAAATTCGGAAAGTGAACAGGTGTTTTTTGAATGGATTAGGGAGAATAGTCGACGAGGACGCAAAAGGATTTGCGAATGGTGAAAGATCGACGAACGGCGCGATATTCGTGACTGAACGGCAATTCGAAAAATGCATTGGGATTTGTGCTCGGATTTCAACTGTTACAGAAAATGAGGTGAGTGTCAAGAACGTAACCTGTTTTTATTCGGTGTAACCTTTCTTGTGCCGACAAGGTAAATAAACGATTGTTGGCATTTTAAGAATATTTAACAGAAAACCTCGCGTCAATTTTTCGTTCATAAAACAATTTTAATTCTTATCTTTCAGTTTGAAAAATGTATATATATATATATATGTATATATACATATATGTACATATATGTATATATACACAAATATATAAGTATATGTACAGATATGTATATTTACACAAATATGTAAGTATATGAATATATATGTACATTGCATATATATATATGTGTGTGTCTAGAATGGTATACATTGACATGTATATAAGAATAAACATAATTTTTAATCTATAAGTTTTAACGCTGTATGAATTATATCTGTATAAATTACTCAAGTGCTTTATCTATTTTTATTCTCCTTTTGTATTAACATTGGATATTTCATTCAATTCGAATTATTTGACTGCTCTAAGAGCCTGAGAATTTAAAAAACTTTCCTATTTATTTTATATAAATTTTTCCCCACAATGGTTTTATTTGATGCAACGTATTTGCGTTTCTATTCTTAGAGCATTTAATGAATAGTTAGAACCATACACGTACAACTGTAGTCAGACAATTAATGTTGCCAGCGCTACCAGGAAGTAAGAGTTTGTGTTTTTTTGCATTACGCTATTTTTGTACGCATTTAACCATTTATTTAATGTTTCTGGTAATAAAACATGCTTCGTTTGTCCACAGTATGGAAAAATGTTCTGTCGAAAAATCAAAATTTTCTTTCAAAATAATATAGAAAATAATATAAAACTAGTAACAGAAAACCTTAGTGCTTACGCACGAGTACACGTAGTCTGTGTAAACTCAGACGAACAAGGGTGACTTAATTCATGCAGGAAAAATGAGCTCAGCTTGGTTCCCACAGTGTATAAGCGCATTTCCTCTTTCCTGTACGAAGACTAGCAATTCTTGGCAGCTAGTTTAAAGAAAGATAGCTCGAGCTAATTACATCTTCTATCATGAAAAACAAAAATCTTTCTCACGCTAAAGCTTTAAGCGTACAGACTCATAAGGTTCTGTGACTATTCAAACTCTTGTAACTAATAATATGGTATTGTCTTCTGTTAGGCCATATAATGTTGGACTGTGTTCTCGGAAGAATGCTAGGCTTTCTAAAACAAATTAAGATGTTTGTTTCTAATTTTGCTGAACAACTACTTCTGTAGTTTGCCAGATACAGAAACCGATGTACTTGTATTTTCTGAAAATAGTTTACTTGTTCAAATTTCTTGCAGGTATAAGCGGCAAAGGCGATTATGTGAAATGCAAGGACGACAAGGATAGGACCTTGGGCGGGCGACCTAGCGATTCTGTGGTTCTATAGCAAAGGGAATAGAAGCGGAAATTAAATATGCCACACCAGTTCGGACTGCCTGCGATGGCGCACGGAATGCAATCTCCTCCTTCGCCGACCTCGGTAATGTCGGTGTACCCTCGATTCGGGTCCGGCGTTTACAGACCGGACCATCAGGATCAACGGTTGACTCGCGAGGCGATGGAGCGTTATCTACGCGACAGGAGCGACATGGTGATCGTGATCCTGCACGCGAAGGTCGCGCAGAAATCGTACGGCAACGAGAAACGATTCTTCTGCCCTCCACCGTGCATCTACCTGTTCGGAGACGGATGGAGGATGCGGCAGGAGCAGATGCTTCGCGAAGGAGAGAGCGAGCAGTCGGCGCAGCTCTGTGCGTTCATCGGGATCGGTAATTCTGACCAGGACATGCAGCAGCTGGACCTGAACAACGGGAAACAGTATTGTGCCGCAAAGACGTTGTACATATCCGATTCGGACAAGCGAAAGCACTTTATGCTCTCTGTGAAAATGTTTTACGGTAGCGGACACGATATAGGGGTATTCCACAGTAAAAGGATCAAGGTGATCTCGAAGCCATCGAAAAAGAAACAATCGTTGAAGAACGCCGATCTGTGCATCGCGAGCGGCACGAAGGTGGCGTTGTTCAACCGGTTACGCTCGCAGACGGTCAGCACGCGTTATTTACACGTGGAGAACGGTAATTTTCACGCTAGCTCGACGCAATGGGGCGCCTTCACGATACACCTTTTGGACGACAACGAGAGCGAGTCGGAGGAGTTCCAAGTTCGCGACGGATACGTGCATTACGGTAGCACGGTGAAGCTGGTGTGCTCGGTCACGGGAATGGCTCTGCCGCGATTGGTCATCCGGAAGGTGGACAAGCAGATGGCCAGCCTGGAGGCGGACGATCCCGTCTCGCAGCTGCACAAATGCGCGTTTTACATGAAGGACACGGACCACATGTACCTCTGTCTGTCGCAAGAACGCATAATACAATTCCAAGCGACGCCGTGTCCGAAGGAGGCGAACAAGGAGATGATCAACGACGGCGCCTGCTGGACGATCATCAGCACCGACAAGGCGGAGTACCAGTTCTTCGAAGGCATGGGCCCGGTCAGATCGCCGGTCACGCCGGTTCCCTTGGTGCACAGCCTGCACCTGAACGGCGGCGGCGATGTGGCCATGCTCGAGCTGACGGGCGACAACTTCACCCCGAATTTGCAGGTGTGGTTCGGAGACGTGGAAGCCGAGACCATGTACAGGTGTCAGGAGAGTATGCTCTGCGTAGTCCCAGACATTTCGCAATTCAGGGGCGAGTGGCTCTGGGTCAGGCAACCGACTCAGGTGCCGGTGTCATTGGTTCGCAACGACGGCATCATTTACGCAACCGGACTAACGTTCACCTACACCCCGGAGCCGGGCCCTAGGCCGCATTGTCCACCGGCGGACGAAATCATGCGAGCTCCGCGTGCCATGCACAATCAGGCCAGCATGCCGCCCGCGATCGCGGACGTGCCCTGGAACACGCATCAGCCGCCGCAGCCGGGTCTCTGATGTTTCCTAGACAATTGCACCGCGCGTCACCAAAGTCTCCGGTCTGGCGAGACCTGCGCTCGTCGGCCCGATTACGATAACAATAACAACAGCACCGATTCCGACAACGAGGATCCGCAGGTCTCCACGAGCAACGACGGGCCGGTGATCGAAAACGGTCGCTCGAGAGACGCGCTGCCTCGGGCCGATTACGCGGAAACGCATCCAGACAATACAAAGATGACGTAGCATCCCTCTAGCTGCGTCGTTGAATCTCCCGCGGGATCCACTTATCCGAATCCAAATCCGTGTACAGTGTGCCGTGTATCCTTTCCCCTATGTTGATACCGCGATCCTATCGTAGCCTCTCTTAGCTTTAAGTGTTGATACAGATTTACACAGAGAGAAAATAATAATTTATAGCACTTTTAGGATTAAGAGCTTTCTACGAATGTGAATCTTTAGCGAATTACGCGAGGCAATAACCGAAAGAACTTAGACGCGAACGCGATCGATCGCCGAAATTTACGGCGATCGCGTTTCGTTGTTTCGACGGAACTTCATATTTCGCGTCGATCGGAATTTTCCTTTGGGAAATGAAATCGTTTGAATCTTTCATCTTGACATGTTGCGGCACGTTGAATGTTCGATTTCGCGTGCTCGAACCAAATTGTTCCAAGAGTTCCTTTCGTACCGAGAAAGGTACGATCGAGACGTTACGCGAATCCAGAGATATTTTTCTTTCGTTTTCTCCTCGATGCTCGGTTCTCTCAATTCCGAGTTGATCCATTTTTACACACGCAACCGATCACCTAGGCACCGAACCGTGCTTCGGAAGAACGGTCTTGAACATGTTGTGTTACAGTTACGTGCAATTCCGGCAGAATGTCCGTATTTAGTTTGATGAAATAATTCGCACGGCGTACAGACGATTTTCGATTTGTCGCGGGGGAACGCGATTTCGTTTGCAAATTGATTTAGCGAGCGGACATCGTATCGCATCGACGTTTCTTATTGATTTCCGGAATTCGTATTATCACGCTGATAAGGTCGTCGTACTCGTGGACATATCGGTTTCTCGAAATTGCAGTCCAGCTATGTTGCGCTGATTACAGTTGAAACACATATCGGCGTCCCGAGAAAAACTACAAGGATCTCGTGCCTCTCTTATGTTTTACAATAAATTCAACAGATTTCTATATAATGGAGAGTTTGCTTGGCGACCTCTTCCAGTTACTCCACGGCTAGAATCCGCTGAGAACTGTTTGGAAAACTCGATTTTTCTCGTACTCGACGCGCGCGCGCGCGCGCTGTCACAGCAGGTGCGATATTATTAGCTTGATTAGGCGAAATTTCGCGAAATCCGAAAGTGCAGGGTTCTAGGTTAAACGCGTTTTGTTTCTTGACTTCTCGACATGATCGGATCGGTACGGGCCTTTTCCCCAGATAGCATCGAATATAATTATCTGGCAGCAGGAAACGAGATAGGTATCGCTTTGGGAATTGTCTTCCCGAAGAGATCCATTGTGAAAGAGGAATGCCGGCGTATGTATTCCATGGGAATTTACCCACGATTAAAATTTGCACCGAGTACCTGAAGAACACGATTATCTTTATTCACAGTAATAAATTGCGACTTAATAATAATTACATCTCGTTACTCGTATCATTGGACGGATGATCAACGAATAATCATTGCGATTCGTTATACACCGGGCAATACTATATAATAGAATTATCGAAATACAAGTGCGTCCGTGCGTAGATTTCGTTTTTTTTTAGTGCTCAATTTCGGGAGGATCGGTTTCGTCGACCCGGAATTCCTTTCGATCGTCAGCGACCATCGACTTTTAGTTTATAACGACGAAATTGTTCTCGAAACGATCAAGTACGTTTGAGCGTGAAATTCTTTAATTATATCTCCTATATATATTAAAGTAATATTTTACAAAACTATATGAAAATCTTATTTGTAAATAAATCATATACAATTTTTCAGCTAATCGTTTGTATACACGTGCATCACGGTTGTCCTGTGTTGTTCTCTCTCTCTCTCTCTCTCTCTCTTTTTTTTTGTTTTACTTGTTCTTATCTTCCATGGATCGTTGCAAACAACAGAACGTGTTAAATTAGCGGATGAGTATGAAAATGAGATGACGCGGCTTCGAACCGCGTTCATGGAATAATTATAGCGTACGTACGTGTATAAAGTTGCGATAGTTCCGACACGACCGTTTACGTATCAAATATACCGGTATGCATATACGCTGCTCGCGTCGTTCAGTACTAGGATCGTCGGGGAACGGTTTCGATGACTATGATGACCCCGCTCATTGCAGACTTCTCGCGGAACAGCTCGAGCGAGACACGACCGCGTTTACTTTATCCGTATCGTGCGCTGCTTATTCATGTTCGTGAGCATCAGCGAAATGTAGGAAGTCAAAAGATCGTCCATTTTGTACCCGAGCGAGGTCTCGCACAGCAGCTTCGAGCCTCGCACCAAGTTGCCGATCGTCATGTGGAAGTAAGTATTGCCCGACGACCAATTTGAGATTCTGGTGAACGGATGCGTAATCAGTATGTCCTGAAATAGAATAAGATCGTGAAACGAAGAACTGCGCGAATCAACAACGTCGAAGCTGTTCAAACGTCTCTCCCGAATCACCTTTGTTTGTGGATGTATCAGGCTGACTCCGTGTTTATTGATCGCGATCAATAACAATTCCGGATAATTCGGTTCCGTGCTCTGTTTCACCTCGAAGAACGCCGACCCGAACGTTGGCCATCGATAGACGATCTTCAAGAACGTGATCTTCGCGTCTTCCGGACTCATTCCTGTTTCGTATAAGAATTGTGTGAACGTCGAACGATATACGAGACGCGATCGATCGTTGCCAACTTACCAGCATCTTGGTTGTACGCCGCTATTATCGATCTCTTCCAATCGTTGGAGCTCTGCACCTTTACCAAATCGCCGGGTATCAGTTCCCTCAGCATTTGTCTGGAAAAACGAGCACGTACAGTGATTCACATTAATAATCGGACACATTTTAAAACGCAATATCTTTTTTAGAACTGGACTAAACGATTTGTATCTTTTCTTCGCTGATTGAGGGATTAGTATACAATGGCCAAATTACTTTGTTATGATTTTGCTATTACTTGGAGCGACGAAACAACTCGTTTATTAACCTTTTTGTCTGAGCCTATAACGAAAATTTAAAAAAATATAATGGATATCGAACGACTTCCTAGCCCGAAGCTTTCTTGCGGAAGTAACAACAGATATTACGATAGAGACGCTTCCACTCACGGGATCGCTTGAAGTTCTTGCTTGCTCTCGCCGAAACGGACCCTGTAGACCAACGCCGCCAGCCTGGACGCTTCCTCTTTAGTGCACTTGTGGTAGCCTGTCGAGGACCGGTAATCGCATCAGTGAAATCGGTATAACTTGTTTATTTATATATATGATGAATAATCGACAGAATATCGAGTCTTACCGCGTAGCAGTTTAGGCAACTCCTGGTGGAAATGGAAAATCAGATCGGCGTTCCTATCTTTGCCGGGCACGGTATTGGTCCACAACTTTTTCATGAAGAAAACTTGGTAGGTAAACTGGGGCGGCACGCCTGCGAGAAGAAAAGATCCGAATTTTCATTTGAATTTTCAGAAATAGCAGAGCGAAGATCGACGAGACCGAGCGTACCGTCGCGAGACGGTCGAGCTTTCCTGATCCAGTCCGTCAGATGGCGTACGAAGTCGAAGAAGAAGTCGCCTTCGGGAACCGAGATGACCTTGTCGGCGATCTTGACGAACAGGCTGAACCCTTCCGCGGATCTCAAGTTCAGCCTCTGCGCAATATTCTGGCAGAAGTCTTTCGCTCTCGTGGACGAGTCTACCTCGAACGCCTGTGCAACGGGAAACGCTTAGAAAAGTTGTCAAACGTCAGGCAAAAAGCGGTGAGCGAAGTTTGCTCTAGTAACTTTAAGAGGTCGCAAATAATCTTATATTTATATTATATTATAACAACTTGAAAAATACCTACAAAATTGAGGGCATATCGAACATAAACTTCTTCGTTTTATCGCCTTCAAATTGGATCAACCGTTTTCGCGATTGAGCCATCACTATGGTCTACCGATATTCTCAATGAATATACTCAATATAATACAGGTTGTCCCAGAAATGTCTTGTAATCTGGAAATGAGAGGTTCCTGAGGTCATTCGAAGTAACTTCTTCCTTAGCGAAAATGCAATCCGCGGCTTTGTTTACGAGTTATTAACGAAAAACACTGACCAATAAGAAACGAGCTCGACTGGCGCGAGGCGGGCCAGCCAACGAGCACACGAAGCCCAGTTCCGCTCATTGGCTCGGCCGTCTCGCGCTAATTGATCTCGCCTCGCATTGGTCGCTGTTTTTCGCTAATAACTCGTAAACGAAAAGCCGCGGATTGCATTTTCGCTAAGGAAAAAGTTACTTCAAATGTCCTCAAGAACCCTTCATTTCCGGATGACGAAACATTTTTGGGACACCCTGTATATAGCTATTATACAATGAATACAAATTCGTTAGAACCTCATATCGCTTGTATATGTATACTGTTATTTTTCGGTTGCTGGTTCTGGTTATACATTTCGGTTATAGTTCTGTTTTACGTAATGAATACATTGTGTTTCCTTTAGATATTAAAACCATGAATTCTTCTGAATTGTAATAATATATAATAATATAATAATAATTCTTCTGAAATGTAATCCTTTTATTAGTGACAAGCTGCGATTGCGGACACCGATTGTCTATCACACAAAACCGGAAAACAACAGTTACGGAACTAATATACCTTGCGAAAGTTACGATGAGAGTTTTTCGGTTCTCCATAAATGTTTCAAGGCCCGAAACCGATATCATAACTGTATCCAATCCGTGATACGAATGAATGAANCCAGCCAACGAGCACACGAAGCCCAGTTCCGCTCATTGGCTCGGCCGTCTCGCGCTAATTGATCTCGCCTCGCATTGGTCGCTGTTTTTCGCTAATAACTCGTAAACGAAAAGCCGCGGATTGCATTTTCGCTAAGGAAAAAGTTACTTCAAATGTCCTCAAGAACCCTTCATTTCCGGATGACGAAACATTTTTGGGACACCCTGTATATAGCTATTATACAATGAATACAAATTCGTTAGAACCTCATATCGCTTGTATATGTATACTGTTATTTTTCGGTTGCTGGTTCTGGTTATACATTTCGGTTATAGTTCTGTTTTACGTAATGAATACATTGTGTTTCCTTTAGATATTAAAACCATGAATTCTTCTGAATTGTAATAATATATAATAATATAATAATAATTCTTCTGAAATGTAATCCTTTTATTAGTGACAAGCTGCGATTGCGGACACCGATTGTCTATCACACAAAACCGGAAAACAACAGTTACGGAACTAATATACCTTGCGAAAGTTACGATGAGAGTTTTTCGGTTCTCCATAAATGTTTCAAGGCCCGAAACCGATATCATAACTGTATCCAATCCGTGATACGAATGAATGAAATGAAATGAAACGTACCTCGTCCGTGTCGTCTGGGAAATAGACTTTGTGAAATATCTGCGTGGTTTTGTGCTGTATAGCTTCGACTTCGACTTGGTGCGGGGGGTACTTCCGTTGGCCGTTTCGCAACGTTTTTTGCAGCCTTTGCAAAGAGTCCTGAGATATGGGGTGCCGCCTCGTCCGCAAGAACAGAGTTAATTCCTGGAACGATTAAAGGTGGCCGTGTAAAAAAAAAGAAAAAAAGAACGTGATCGCTCGTTTCCGGTCGCACGGTCCCGCGTACCTTTAAAAGGCTTTGGCTGCAAGTGAAAAGCCCGGTGGCGAGCCACATCAGCTCCCAGCCGCGCTCCTCGCTCAATCGGTTTCGATTGTCTGTCAGTTGCTTCATGATTTGACAGTAGATCTCGTCCCGCAGTATCTCGTTTTTCAGAGGCCCGTCGAAGATTAGGTCTGTGTACTCGTTGCCGACACGCGGTCTCTTCGTCGGCAGGTCCCCCATGTACTTCAGCATGGCGTTGAACGCGAAACACGCCTCTTCGGCGAGCTCCTCCTTTGACGTAAGTTTCTTCAGCAATGGTTGCTTGATCGGGTCCCTCGAGTGATGCCACAGCTCGTCGGTGTGTCCGCGTCGAGCGGTGGTCAACGTCAGCGCCTTCGACATCGTTCTCTTCGGCGGCGTTCTACGGGATAGCAACGTTTCGCTGACAGAAAATCGACTCGCTTAAAGGCCGATTTATATCGTCTGCTCAGGCACGGCACGCTCGCGGAACGGTTCGGTTCAGACTAAAACTACCAAATCAGTCAAAATGACTGGTTTTTGACTTTTTCTTTTACGGTTCCTGATATTATACAAATATTTGTAGGAGAAATTTTTAGGTACACTTCTTTATTGAGAAGTATACGTTATAATATAAATCATAAGAACTCTACAAATAAATCCAGTCTTTCCATTGTTATAAAACGATATACATACATTAATCGCGTTTAGGGATCTGTAGTTCTAGTGTTAACGAGATTTGTGTCTGAACAGTTCCAGGCAACTTCTGCTTGTGTTTCAGGCAAAAGTATTGTTACAAACATCTGGAACGTTGCGTGACGAAACGATTAGGGATGCTGCATATAAACAGTTGAATCTTTTTGAAACCCGCAATAATGTTTACCTGAACCGAACCGTTCCGTGCCCGAACAGGAGGTATAAATCGACGTTAATTTGAAACCGCGATCCGAATACTTGCCTGAAATGGTCGATGGCGTATTCCAGCAGAGTGTGAGGCTTGTCGCGAGGTTCTACTCCGTTGACTTGTTGCGGATAGAGTTTGCGGCCGTTCTCCGTTCCTTCGATGCTGAACAAGGACTGCGAATAAAAGACGATCGATTTCGCGACTCCTACGTGAACGAAGCTCGCGATACGAGGCCTAGAACTACGCTTACCAAGATATCGTTCGGCGGCTTGCTCAGCGATGGCAGAACGTAAACAGTCTCCGCGGGAAAGTCGCCTTTCTCGTTGGTCCTCTCGCACGTGCCGACGCACCATCCGGAATTGAGGACCGTCTCGCCGGTGCTCTCTTCCTCCAGTACGATGAGATCGCCTTTCTGAAAACTAAGGAACGACGAGCCCTCGCCTGGCGCCTTGTAATCCTGCAGAGCGATCACGTATTTGCTACGTTTCTTCAGACCCTCTAGAAAGTACACCACCAAGTCGCGGATGTCCTCGGCGTTCGGACTCTGGAACGTGAACTCTTCTCCGCGGACCGTCGACAAATTGAACGTCTGCGTGAACATTTTGTTCGTTCTGGAAACGAGAGCATAGCGTTGCGAGGTACGAAAGAACGATAGACGTCGGTAAACGAACAGGAAAACGCAGCGTACTTTTGACTAGATACGGTGGTGATCTCGGGGAAGGATAATTCAAGGAGCACTTGCTCCTGGTCGTCGACGACGTACACTCCGGTCCAGTTCACCGCGATGATCACGTCGTTCTTCGGCAAATTCGGCCCGGAGTTTCTGTACGCTTCGTAGAAACGGGAAAACAGCAACGGCCATTTGAACTTCGCGTAGCCGACTATGTCCTCCTTCACCCGCAACGCCGGCACCTTCTCCTTCAAGTAGTAGCTCTGTGAAAGGTACATGTATACATATAATAACTTGTACTGTATATGTGATAACTTTCTTTAAAATTTGACCGCATAATTTGAATTTTTTTGAGTTGCCTGATCGACTGTATCGACTATGAGTGAATAAACATTTGTAAATTATCGAATATGCCGAATTTACAGGTGCATAAAATTCAATTTACGTAGTACTATGTTTCCCGCATATAGCTAAAGACTTTGGAGTAACTTATGGACTACGTTTCCCGTCGTAAAAGTGTCAAGATCGTAATACATGAATATATGTACATATTAACTGCGCGCTTATCTCCGCTCAAAACCAGGACGACCAGTCGGATACCTTTTTGTACGCCTGCAAAACCAGGTGACCCCATCTGTCGATGGCCTTGTCGATCCCCGTCAGACAGTAATCCGGTATGTAATTCGGCAGGAGGGTGTAGAGCCTATCAACGTTCATGTCCATGTGATATTCTATGTAATATTGTTGCGCGGCGATCATCGCCAGGTCTTCCTCCTTGTCGCAGCGATACTCGCCGAACTTGACCCCCCTGACGACCTGCTGGTAGATCAAGTTGGTGGCCACCTGGTCCTCGGTCGGCTCGTGCCACGGCGCGAATATCTCCTTGCGGAAGAACAATCTCCACGGGGCGTTTCGCTCCTGGGCGCCTTGCTCCTTCGCGTACTGCTCGCACTGGGAGATCGCGTCCATCACGTGGTCGCCGCCGCTGCCCAGCGAGGAGACCTTATCGAACAGGGCAATGTACAGAGAGAAACCGAACTGGTCGCGCAACGATATCTTGTCGGACAGCTGGTTGCAGAGCTCCCTGGCGGTGGTTGCGGAGTCGGCGAGCAGCGTCTTCGTGTTCCCGTCCATGAATGTGATCGGCAGCATGATCGGCTTCTTCGACTTGGTCGCCTGGAGCTCCAGCCAGCTCGGCGGCTGATTCCTGGTCCCGTTGTTGAACGTCCTTTTGAGCCGGTCCTCGCAGTACGGCGCGTATCCCGGCGGACCCTCCCTGATGAACGCGCGCAGATAATTCACGAACTTCTCGGACGGTGCGAAACAGCCGACGCAGAGCGAAAGCAAGATCCATCCTCGGGCGTGCGACGACTTCGACGGATTGGTCGTCAGCTGTTTGCAGATCTGACAATAGATCTCGTCCCGGAGCTCGGCGCGCAAAATCCCATGGCCGATGATGAAGTGAAGCTTCTCGAGGTTCGACGTGGGCCTCGCCTCCAGCCACGACTGGTAGCTGTCCGCGGTGTACTCGTCCTCCTGCAGCTTCCGCCGGACGTCCTCGCCGAGCTTGTTCTTTCTCTTCAGGGTCAGCGAGACCAGCTTGTGTCTGATGGACCTCGACGGCTTCTGCCTGAGGAACGTCTCCGGGTCCACGCCCATCATCTGCGCCTCCTGGAACTCCTTGCTCCTGATGAAGTTCCGGCCGAGCGTCGCCGTCACTTTCGACATCACCGAGGTCGTGTCCCTGTCCATCGTGTGGAACCTGGGCTCCGGTAGGTCGCCGGTGAACCGGAGGATCGTGATCCAAAGGGCCTGCGCGGCCAGCTGGTCGCCCTGGGTGTGCAGCGGCAGCAGCGGATGCTTCAGCGGCTTCCTCGAGTACTGGTGCGTGATGTTCCCTTGGAAGTAGGTGGCCGCGAACTTCTGGAACTTGAACTCGGACAGATCCTCCTCGTCCTCGGAGGCCGTCTGCACCGGGCTGATGATCTCCTGCTGGTCCGCCTTCGGCGCCGGTAAATCGTTGAACACGGAGGTCTCTCGAGCCGGAGTGGGAGCCTCGCTGCTGGAGTCCGGCAGGAAGTCGAACATCGCCTCGACCAACTTGCTGTCGTCGACCGGCTCGTCCTGCTTCTTCGCCGCGTCGTTGATCAGGTTCTTCTTGATCTCCATTCGACGCCGGTCCTCCAGCTCCATCTCGATCTCCTTCCTCTCCAGCTCCTGCATCCGCTCCCGGTAATTCTGCTCGGCGATCTCCTTCGCCCGCTTGTTCCCTTGGTCCTTCAGCTCGCGCTCCTCCTTCTTCCGCAGTCGCAGGGCCTCGACGTGCAACCGGTACTCGTACTTGATCTTCTTGTACCGCCTCTGCGCGATCAGCCGGCGCACGTGCGCCTGGATCTTCACGATCGCCCACAGCTTCTTCTGGTAGAGCCTGCGAACCAAGTAGCCCCGCGCGCGAGCCTGCAGCGCCACGATGTGCCCCCTGAGGTGTCTGAAACGGTGCGAGAGCACCCGCGACCTGATCAACGCCTGCAGCCGCATGTAACCGATACGCATGCGTTTGTAGCGTTGTCTCTGCGCGTAACCGCGCCAGTATTTCTGCACCACCGTCGCCGCTGCTCGCATCCGCAGGAACCTCCTTCTGTAGACCCAGCCGCGGATGTTGCGCTGCAGGATCAGGATCTTCCGTGTGAGCACGCGGTCGCGCTCCTGCTCCAGGAACAGATCGTGCGCGTCCTTCAGGAAAACTTTGGTGTGGCCCAGCTGGTAGTCCGATCTGCCCAGCACCGCGTGACAGATTCTCGAAGTGGCCGCGTGACAGTCGACCTTGTGCGACGGCGGTATGCCGGGGATCAGGAATCGGTATCTCTCGACGAACTCCGGGAAGGAGTGCCTGATCGGGTAGCCGGCTCTACGTATGCGGATTGTCTCCATCATGCCGGAGTATCTGAGCTGTCGGCAACACAGACCCCTGTCGAACATCATCGGCTTCTTGTACTCGTTCGGCTTGATGCACCTGATGAAGAACGGCTGGCAGCTGCACAAGGTCTTCATCAGCGAGTCCAGGGACTTCTTGAACTGCGTGGACAGGGTTGGCGCCCGTTTCCTCGTCTCCGAGCCCATGCCTATGTCCTCGGCGAAGCACGCCTGCAGAAACTTGTTCGACGATATGTGGATCAGCTGCAGCAGATCGCCGCTGAACGTGTCCCGGTTCTTCTCCAGGAAGCTTCTCGTGTCGTAGAACACCACGCCGGCGAAGTGATTCAGCCCGAACGACGTGTTGATGTCCGACTTCGGCTTCAAATAGTTCCGATGGGTCCCGTGGGTCTTGTGGATCTTCGCGAGCATCGTCTGATCGGTGCCCTTCGGGAACTTCGACTCCTCGTCGATCAGCGCCATGATGTTCAGCTGTTTGATCGCGATCAAATCCAGCGCGTCCTGGTTGTCCACGAACTCTATGTGCTGCCAGTTGATACCCTCGTGATTGTACTCCTCCTGCTCGAGCTTGAAGATGTGCTGCACGAAGAACTGCTGCAGATTCTCGTTCGCGTAGTTGATGCAGAACTGCTCGAAGCTGTTGTGATTGAAGTTCTCGAACCCGAAGATGTCGAGCACGCCTATCGCGCTGCGGGACGTGTTCTTCGGCCTGTAGATCGCCTCGTTGATCTTCTTCACGATGTGCACGAACAACCGGCCGTAGATACCCTTGACGAACGCGTCCCTAATGTCCACCGACTGTTCCCTGGACAGCGTCGAGACCTGCGGCACGCGTTACGATTCCTGGATAGTAGTCGGCTTTACGTCTCTATCTAGAAGCCAGCGCGAAGCCACGAAATCACGCAGAATTTACTTGTTACTTACAACCGTCTCACCGTGAGCAAATATCGTTCTGCGAGTGAGCGCGTCTATCAACGATTGCACCGGCACGCCCAGCAGCTGCGCCACCCTCCGGACGTTCGTCTGTTCCGGTATTTCGGTGGCGTCCAAATTATCTGCAACGAAGAATCTTTGTTGATAATATGTTCTTTTGAATTTAAATGAAATTCATTGTACCGGCGGAAAGACCAATTATCATATTAGTATGGAAAGATGTCTGTTCAGTTGTGGTAAGAGAGCAAAGTTTATAGGAAAAGAAAGAAATCCAATGGAATTATAAAGTTACGCATCGTACAAGATTAAATGGATATTATTAACCCTCGGCCTGCGTATATCGGGTCTTTCGTGACCCGGCGTATTTAAATGACCAGTCTAAATTATCGGTCTATTTTTGGCAATGAAGTGAAATAAATGGTTGTTACACTGGGAGCAACAGAAAGTAATATATAGTAATATATATTTACAATAACATAAATAATAATTTAAGGCTTTGTTTTCGAGAAAACTGACTCGGAGCTGCGTCAAGCTCGCGTGCCTAAAATTTAATTTAGGCCTTCCTTTAATTTAATAAATTACATTAACTTAAATGGAAACATGCTATCCTTTTTTTAAATTATTTTTACATGTAGAATCACTAACCGGCCGATTGTACCACAATTTTTGGGACACCCTATATTTATCCAGGATTGCATATTTTCGCATACAAAGGGTAATTTTTTAAATAAAGATCCTTATCAAGGTCGACGTTCCGTGCAGCAACGACGGACGTTTCTTACCTACAACGGTAGCCCTGTACTTGACGTTTCCAATGTGCAGCAGGGCGGCCAACAGCTTCAAGACTTCCCATATTTCCGCGTCAGAGAACAACAGAACCTTCATCGCCGACCTAATGTCCGCGAACTCCGCAGCGTCGTCGCGACCTTCGCAGGTGATGCTGCCGCCCTAGAAAGCGAACGACATGGAAGAAGGTGACGTTGGCCGCGACGCTACAGTGGGGTAAAACACCGCCTCGCGGGACAAAACTGTAAAATCCAAATATTCTCGTACAACGATATATCGGATCTTCTCAAATTATTATACGCTTCTGGAAGCGCACATGTTACAATATAACATATACTTTGCAATGAGCGTCTGATAATTTGAGACGATCCGATATCGTCGTACAGGAACGTTTGGATTTTATACATTTTGTCCCGCGTGGCCGCACCGTGCGACGAGGAGGCGGAACAAAGCGACCTTACACCCGTGAGATATTTGTACGAAGACGCGTCCTCCAACTCCAGCTTTTGCTTCTCCTCCTTGGACAGACCGGCCAACATGCAATAGAACACGTGGTAATTCCTCTCGTCCAAGCTCTGCGACACTATTCGCGACTTTTCTAGCAGGTATTGCTCGATCTTGGCCCCTTCTATCACGCCCTGCTCGTTGAAGTGTATATCGATGTATTTCCCGAAGCGGGAGGAATTGTCGTTCCGCACCGTCTTGGCGTTGCCGAATGCTGGAACCGCGGGAGAGAAAACGAGTCGGGTCACCGATTTTCGTAATTCAACACGTGCTCGCGAACGTTTTTACCTTCCAAGATCGGGTTCGCTTCCAAAATTTGCTGTTCGATCCACGAATGTTTGCCGCTGATCGCTGCCAAATATTGCAAAATTAGTTTCGTACTTTCCGTTTTGCCGGCTCCGCTTTCGCCGCTAAGACATAAACATTCGTAAATTTGACAAATCGTTCATCCAAAAACGACACGAAGGCGAGATGGTACACAGCCGAAAGAGAACGAATCGTGTTTTCTCCGCTCTAGAAGGGAAAAAGCGATCCCCACCCACCACCACCGTCGTCATCGATACCTGATCACTATGCACTGATCCTGGCCGTATCGGTTCATGTGCGCGTAACTGTTGTCGCCGATCGCGAATATGTGCGGCGGCAGCTCGCCGATCTTCCGATCCTTGTACAGCTTGATCTGCTCCGCGGTGTAAATCGGCAGGATCTGATAGGGGTTCACGGCGACGAGGATCGAGCCCGTGTAGGTCTACGGAAAAAACGATCATATGCCTCGTTTACATCTCTTCGATACGTGTTGAAAGCTAGCGATGTGTCGCGATACTGCTCGTGCGAAATCGGATCGTACAGGAAACAGACGTATCGCGAGCATTGCCGCATAGTGGTGCAAAGCGACGAAACTGTGTCGAAAGCAAAGAACTTTTCAGGGAAACGAGATCAAGCGATGATTCTTTTCTACGTTGATGCTGAAATGTTGGAGAATATAGGAGAAATAGAGAGGAATTGTATTATTAAGTCATTAAATATGAAATGCATACTTTATAATTTCATTATAAAATCTATGCATTTCATATATGTATAATGGCCTATAGTATGAACGTTTTTTAACTTGGATAAATTTTGTTAAACGTGAAATATTCCAACAAAATTTATTTACTTATTTGTTTACTTATTTAGCATAAACGGGCCGGATGCTCTTTGATTTTCGTACGAAGCTATAACATAATGATAATGAAAATTGTGGTTTATATCCGATACACCATGTTGGATACCATACATATAGTTGGATTCTTTTTTAATGACATGTTATATATCATTCCTAGCAGATTTCGACACGTTGATTTCAAATCGGTCGCGAAATTCGTCTATCTTTTATGGATTTTGGAAAAACAATCCATCCAACGAAATCGTGATTTTTTCGTTAAAATGATGCGATAACCAAATACTTTACTTTCTTTTTCGCGTTCGGATATTTTACTATATTCGAACCAGCGGGTTGTCAATTCATTTCAATGAACAAATGTCACGGTCTAGTTAGCTTTCTCGCTTGATTCGATTTCTTTTCGAAATCCAGAAGTGGCAGATATAATTTTGCGACCGGATTTGGAATCGGCGCGTCAAAATCTCCTGGAAATGATATATGACAAATTATTTTAAAATAATCCAAGCGTGCATGATATCGGATAAATCATTGTAATAAAAATAATTCCAATTTCATTGGAATATTTAAATTTTAACATAGCTTCCCAAGGTTAAAAAATGTGATTCCGCAACGTTTCAGCTTTAATGCTAGAACTACCAAATCAGTCGAAATGATTAGTTTCCGACTGTGTTTCCATAACAATTCCCGACATTATAAAGATGTTTCTGCGAAAAACCATATATCATAATAGAAACCGTGCGACGTTCAAATAAATCCAATCTTGTCGTTGTTACAAACCAATATATTAGATAGGGTCATAAATAACTTCCGATGCGGCTAGATAGAATCCGTTGTTCGTATCGATCCACTATGAGCCACCGGAACAAACGAATTTTTGCTTTTGCTAAATAGACAAGAGTTCAAAATAAATGGAATAAAAAAGAAACAAAATAAATGTCTGACAAAGAAGCGGAAGTTATTTATGACTCGACCTAACAAATTAGTTGCATTTAGGGCCCGACAGTTCCAACAAAAACGTGAGAAAAGTATGATCGCTTGATCCCGTTTCCCTCAAAGGTGCTTCGATTTTGACAGAACTTGTCACTTTGCCGCGCCGCGCGCCGCCGGGACCGATGGACCCGCGGTTGCCACTCACGTATATCAGGTTCTCGTTGTATCGTATCAGCAAGTTCCTCAGGATGCCGGCCTCATGGAGGTCTCCTAGGCTGATCATATCCTCGACGCCTTGGACGGAGGTGGCGTGCATCGCCTTTATCCGTCTCTCCGGTGTCAGCCATTGTTCCTGAAAACGTTGATCGTCGGCGTGAAGGCTCTCTGGCGGTTTTGGTATCGTCGATCGCGAGCCCGCTACCTCCGAAAGTATTCGAAATCGTCGGGGCCGCTCGCAGCACACTTTCTCGCGCTTCGAAACACGCGCCGCCGACTTTCCGATGAATCGAGAAACGCGGCGGCGAACGCGGAAAGTAGGTAACGATTACCTTGTTATCGTCGTCTTTCACTTGAATGCGCCTGCCTTCCGCAGAGATCACTCGTGCCCCGATCGCAACGTCAAATTCCCTTCCAGAGATTGGTTCGATCCATATGTAGTCCCCCTGCAAATCAATCGTTCTACGGAGCGACGACGACGCCGGTGCGGTTCGGTCGTGTGTTCGGCCGAACCGTTCGGCCCAGTTTCGGACGATGTTCGATGAACCGGCAAAGGCTCCGCTCTGCGCCTGTATCGACCGGAGAAAACGCGTCGCGGCCGCGGTCCGGCGCGACTAACGTGGAAATCGATGTCCCCCCCGGGAAACGGGGCAAAACCAAGGCCCGATACCAGTCGAAACGCGCGATTAGACGCGCGTCGCGATTCAAAGTCAAGGTTTGGCGGCGGGTAGAACGGGGACCGGTTTTAGTCGGCCAACGCGCTCGAGCTTGACCCGAATTAAACCGAAAGCTAGCCGCCGCGCCGCGCCGTGGTGGACGTGTTAGCACGCGCCGCGTAACTGTAAACCTTAAACAGGCTTTAATCGACGCGGCCAGGCCGTTAGATAAACCCGGACCAGAGAGTTTCGCGGTTTGTTCGCGCTTCGCTCGATCTCCCCGATCGGACGAAAACGAAAGGAGACGCGCGAGTCCGTCGTCGGCCGTCGCCTCGGCCCGCGTTTTCCCGCACACGATAATCGAGTTAGTCGGACCCGACGGGTATTGCTCCGGCTTCCAGCAGGGTTTAACGTCACGCGCCGAGAGAAGGGGACGCGTTGCTCGCCGCGAATATTTTCGCGAAACGCAACGGATTCGGCTTCGATCTTGCTCCTAAGGAGCCGGCGTCCAATGTCACAACATTCGCGAAACGAGTTTACATAAAACTGTTCCATCACGTGAACCGCTGATTCGCAGATTCTCTGATCGATATCAGCTTTTAGGTTCTGCATTGTAAAATGGATCTTTTTACCCGTATACGTATATAAATGAATTAAATGAAATCTAATTAAATAATCGTGCTCGGTGGTGTTGCGCGAGCTCTATGCGCACGAGCTCTATGCACGCCGGCACCTTCTCCTCGCGTCTTTTCACGGCCGGTGTTCTAACCCGCGGATAGAACATGGTTTCAACGAGGCACCCGTCGGTAATTAATCTTCGTTGCGTCGTCGATCGAACGAAGAAACGAGCGGCGATTCCAAGGCGCCGATGAGTCACCGGGTTCGAGCGATCGACAAAGAGATCCGGGCTGGTCGAACGGGACGTAGGCATGAGAACCCCTGGCGCTTGGCTAGCCTATGCTCCGCGGACGCCTCTACGCGAATGCACAGGTTGCGTCTGATATTCGTATACGTTCCGATTGTTCACCTCACCGGAACATCGGAAGAGCTCATCCGCTCGTTAGCTCGAAAGAGCCCCCGAGCCTGCGCGCGACTCCGATTTGGCCCTGGTCGCGACGCGGTTTTACTTTCGGTAGCTGGCCGCGACGGCCGCGCGAGAAACACCGACGATTATTCTCGTTCGGAGCCCCGTTTCTCTCCGTGGCGAAAATGCTTTTTCTCGCGCGGCGACGTCCTGCCCGAGTGCCGGAAACTCGCGGAACGTTTTCCCTCGGCAACAGAGACAGCGCGGGGAGGAAGGGGGGAGGGGCGGTACAGAGAGAGAAAAGGGTAAAGGGCGACGCAGTCGGACGCGGTGTGCTCGCACCGCGTGCTCGCCCGGGGAAAGAATAGGAGCCGAGCCGATGGTAGAAACGCGTTGTCCGGTAAAACGAACCGCGTCCCGTTATACGACGGCTGGTTCGCTCGCGCGAAATGCTAACGCGCTGTACAGGGCATTCGCGATGCGATGAAGGACCGTTAACAACTACGTCTAATTAACTGACCACTGGTTTCGGTACACGTCGGAGCCGGTCTCCCGTCGATCGCGCGCGGAGATCGGTTTCGTTGCGATCCGCTCGACGGTGTTGTCTGGTACGCGGGTGGTGTGTACAACCCCCTCCAAAAGTATCGGGACACTTGCAGAAAATTTCGATGGATAGGAAAACCCGACGGGGGATTGCTATAATTTCTGCAATTTATTTCAAAGTTAATTATTACCGGACCACGGATTTTATGGATTTATTATAAAAATGGCTGAGTGTGCAGTGCAAGACTGTGAGGAGAGTATGACAGAAATTTAAGGTTATTTTTATATAAGTTTCGTCAATTAATACGATCATCGAAAGAGGAAAGGCATTTGCGTCTAACTTATGTTTCTTACAATTAATTTGGACAATCTTAATTTTGCATAAAGTTTCGCGGTCTGTGAATCACGTTAAACTGTAACAAGTGCGAAATAAAGATTATTCAAATTGATTGTAAGAAATTTTTATATACTTTTTGTATATTATATTTATACGTATATATAACGTAAAAGATGTTATATATTTTCATATATGATTCATAAATATATTTTGTACGTTGCGATAAAAATAACGTGATCTTTAATTACTTCTTGGACTAATTTCGGCATTCGTTTTATCGGTTCTTCGATTTATCTCTGATGCTCTTTGGTTTCATGCACTTTTGTAGTACGTTCCACGTATTAAGAGAACACATCGATGATCGAACCAAGAATACCAAATGAGCTCGGAATACGTTTCCAATGAACAAAATGCAACAAATGGATAACACTAATCGCATAAGCGACCAACACTTATAACTTAATATGTACTTTCGACAATATGTTGCTGCATCGCAGACTTGCTGATGTTACCTAAAACGAATGAAATATTACAATTTATACTAAACGAGCAGGTGTCCCAATACTTTTTGAGGGTGGTGTGTGTACCTCGTAGCGATCACAGATGCTCCCGGAAACATTTGAAACACGGCCAACGAACGATCCACGGAGTCGTGATCGAAGGTGAACCGGTCGTCTAGATCTCGCGAGACCGTATGAAACAAATACCAACATCGGCATACCGATTCGGTGTCGTCTCGACTCGCAGGTACGCGCCTGATCACGATCGATCGTTCCGCGAAAAATCTCGATCGTTCACCGGACGCCGTCGAGAGAAACGAGCGCGCACGTGTCTCCCGTTTCTCGCATACACATTTAAGGTCGATTTATACTCGTCGACGAGCCGGCCACGAGCCGATAGTGTTTTATCATTGTTTCTTATTATTCGTTAATATACGGATGGATGACCGCACGAGTCATTTGAAAAAATTAACTTCACACGTATGCCAACGAGATCATCTGCTTTCAACATGATCTTCTTCTTCTAGTTCGATTGCTGTTACAGCTAAATCCTCGATCGAAAATGAATTTCGTTACACCGATATGGGTTTCGCGTGCTCAGAAATAATAATAAAACACTATCGATACCGCTCGGCTCGTGTTCGGCTCGTCGATATGACTACAAATAGACCTTAAGCTCCTTTACGTTGCATCCGATCGCATCCTCGGCTCGTCACAGATTCCCACCGATCCACCGGGAAACTTTCGCGCGGACAGAAGAACACTTACCCGCGTGACGATGACCATCTCTCAAGTCGTGGTTGTCGGCACTCCGCCTGAAACAAAAGCAACCACGTTGGTCTTGTCTTCCCGAGGATCGGGTTTCGTCCGTAGCCTATAGGCACGAGAAATCGCAAGAAAATCGCGCGGGGAACGCGCGATAGCTGTTAGGGTTCACGGTTCGCGCTCATGCTCGTTCGTTTCGCGGGCTCCGGCCGCTTGTTACGCGGATCGAAGACGCTCTTAGCCGCGAGAGGCGACGATCTATCCATTCGGAGAAAAATCGTTTGAACGCGCGACGACGATGCCTGACCGATCACCGTTACAGTCGAAGCAGTACGAGCATAAACCTGTTCGCAAAAGTGGGTTATTCAGTTTCTGCTAGCTCGGCGAGGCTCTCGTCCCGTCTCGGCTCGGACGGCTCCGGGTCCGGGTCCGGGTCCGTCGACGATCCGTCCGACGACGACGAGCCCCCGATCGGTCCCCATTTTCTTTCTCCGCATTCCAAATCGAACATGATCGAATCGCGAACGAAGGAAAGCCGAGCCCGAAGTTCCCGAAGAGCCGAGAGCATCGATCGATCGCGGCCGACCAGGTTGCGGTTTACGCGTCGCTGGCGTCAATTTCGTTCGGCGAAACACAGCGACGGATTTGCTTCGAATTATGCTCGCACGAGTGACTCTCCTCGGTCGACGAACCAATCGATCCCCGGCATATAATAGCCGTGCTGTTTTTTTCTTTCTTTCTTCTTCTTCTTCTTCTTTTTGCTCGCGATTCGCGCAATTCAACCTCCGGAGCCTCTGCAATTTGCCCGCGGCCGATCGGGGCATCGGTTGTGTACACACACTTCCGGTAAGCCGCGGCGACGATCGCTCGAGTAAAAACGTCGGACTCTGTTCGTTCTCTCGCCGGAATCGATTCTATCGACTTCGAGGGACAGGATCGACGAGAAACCTCGCCGACCGTGTGTTTCAAAGTCGACGTTACGGCGTTCGCGGTCGACGTTCGAGGATCACGTACTCGAACAGCGGACGTAGCTGCGCCGGCCGCTGCGCTTGCGGACTCTCGGAGACTTTAACGGGTGATCGAGCGAGTACGCGTGACCGCGCCGCATCCCGTTTCTCCTCCGTTCGAACGGAAACGTCGTTTTCCGAACCGCGGACACGCGGAATCGTTTCCGACGCTTCTCGTTTCGCCTGTTCGGCGACGCGATCGTTTTCCACGTGTGCAGGCTTGTTCGCCGCGTCGATGATCTTTCTCGGCGGAGAATACCGCGTGTCTACTTCGTTGAACGACGCACCAGCTCGTCGAACCGTTTGGTAAACATTCTAACGTCGGTCGATCGCACGTCGCCTCGGCATCGGCGAGACGTTCGCTTTATCTGAGCGCGCGTTCCGCTTATCTGGCGTTCCTATTATCGCGCTTTAAACGCCCGCGGTTGGCGTACGTGTACAGCGGGATCGCGCTGGAATGCCACGATCCGTTCCTTGTCATTATGACCCGTGGAACGCGTGAAATTTCCGAAGGCTGGCACCGCGTGACCGCTATTAAAAAGATTTTTTTCGCCAAAATCGAGAGAGATAGATGGAGAAAGAGAGAGAGAGAGAGAGAGAAAGAGAGACGTCTATTTCTCTTTTTCTCTCTCTCTCTCTCTCTTTCACGAGAGACGGAGCAACGCGCACTTTGGTTTCGTTGCACCGTCGCTGGGTATATCTGGTCTCCTAAACAACTATTTACGCTCTGTTCCGGCAAAGGGGAACAACGGCTCGCAGCTGTGAAATATTTGGAATTCCTTAGCCAGAGGTTGCACCGACCGCGTGCATAACGGGGAGGAGGGGGAGGGCCGGGACCACATGAAAACGACGACAGAACGTGTACGAAAACGGTAATTTTTCAGACGTACCTTGTGCGAGTAACGAGAAACACGACGAAAAGCGGCTATACGTCGGCACACTCCATTAAGAAGAAGAAGAAGAGGCAGACGAGCAGGAAGGAGTAGAACCAGAAGAAGAAGAAGAAGAAGCACTGCACTGCACTTCGGACGCGACCGCGACGTAAAGCGCGCTTTTCATGACCGACGTGACAGACCTGAGGATCGCCGGAGGAAGTCGGCGGTCGTGGAAGCGACTAAACGTGGAAAAAGGAACGCGAGCCGCGGCACCACAGCACCACGATAGGAAATGGGACACGAAAAGCAACAGTAATCGTTCCGGAGGATGGGCCCCACGGTGACCGGCACATTAACGCGTTCACTCGGAGAGCTTCGGTTCGAATCGGGCGTGCCAGGTGGAAGCGAAGCGACTGAGAGCGGCGCAGAGGTGGAAAACCTACTCTTGAACGGTGCAGCTTCGGACCACACGATCGGCTCTGGCTGGCTCCCTCCCTCGCCTTCTCCTTTTCCTTCACCTGCGCGCTCTCCTCGTCTCGCCCTTTCGACCGGAATTCGAATCGGATTCGGGATCGGGAACCGAGCCCAACATCCCCCAGTCCCGACGAACGATCGCAAAAATCTGCCTACGGATCCCGTGACGTCAATCGCCGCGACGTCGCGACCCACCTATGCACACCTGTGCTACCTGTTGCGCCTCGCTACCCGCCCCTCCTTACCGATCGAGTCGTCCTGCCCGCTTCGTTGCCCGCGTCGCGTCGCGCCGCCAAACTACAAACTCGCCGATCCGTCCAAACACCGTCCAATAACACAGACAGATCGTATATTTGTGTCGTTTACATTGAAAATATATTTTCATTTCGTACGAGTTCCACAAGGACGTTCATACATAGACGTATTTACGATTTCCGTAACTTAGAAATTACACATCGATACGAGAAGTAGAGGGAATCCCAGCAGCAACAACGGCAACATCGGCGAGGCTACACTCGTCACGATTCAACGATCGAGTAAATCATTTTTACACAGATATTACAAACATAAACACGTTCTTCCTATATTTAACAAGAATAATACTCTATGCCGAACCACATCCGTCGTTCTCTGCCGCGGTACGTATTTGGTAATACCGATTCTGTGTCGGAGCGACGGCGTGTCACGCTCAGCCTTACTGTATGTATAATAATCGGATGTTCGTTCCGATATCGGAAGTCGATCGAGCGGGCACGGGCTCGATATTACCGTTGATCGATTTATTCGTGCCAATGCAACGGGAGAATATCGTGCCCTACCGCTCTGCGGACTTCGAATACGCGTTGCTCGTCTCGATCGGTATAGATATTATACAAATTAGTCGAAATATGTTCGTAATAGTTAGTGAAAACATCGGTGAATGGTACGAGTATAACGGTATCGGTGTGTGCAGTAGAACGTATTTAATACGCAGCGTATAATTATGTTATCCGAAAGCATATATTCTCTTAGCAACATACAAAATCTGTATAATATGCGATATCGTTTCGTTAAACAATTCTGGGAGCACACGAGACGTTGTTCACGCTGAAAAAAGTACAGACGACACTCTGCTTTCATAAATACCTTTTTTGCGTTAACTAGATCTTTACATCGAGCAACTTAAACGGCGCGGTCTCTAAAGCTAAGATACCTTTCTTTATATAGATTCCAGTGCGATCCAGTAACAAATGCTATTTTCCTGTTACCGCAACTGCTGTTTATTGCGACTTACAGTAACGAAACCGATAGATAATTGTATTCGCTACGCTACTCCGAAATAGTAGTTATACCGTATTCAGGTACAAGATATGCATACCAGCGTGTTTTACATCGAAATGCAGTGCATATAATAATAGAGGAAAAGAACGGCGAACAATGGAAAAATCAATCGATTGGAAACATCGCGTTCCCCTCGTTGTGACAGACATGTAGAAACGTTTTACGCTAATCGTGTTTGCTAGTCCTATGGAAGCGCGTTATCTCTCTATACACCGATCGCGTTGCCAAAGAACCAAATGCGATCGATCGGTGGACTTTTTTGATAATATCTTTTACCAATTAACCTTCGCACTGCTCTTGCATAATTTGTACCCATTCTTAACAATTCGAAGAACTCGAGAAACAAATCTACGGTCCCTGATAAACGAATCTACCTACGCGTATTATTAAACAAGTAAAGAATATAACAAATAGAACGACTAGGATCTACGATGACTCGCGTTTGCTTCCAACTTTTCATCGCGGTAATATTATATGTAGTCCTAATTTACAGGTTTTTCTTATGGTTCTCGAAAAGTGTCGCGTATATACCAAATTGACAGTCACACATCTGAAAATAATTCAACGGTTTAATCGAGCGGATTCAGAACCATCGGGAATTAATTAAAGGCATAATCCTTGATCAAGGATAACTGAGGATACATTCTAAGGACACGATTGGTCGTCTCTTCCTAGGCCAAAGAAATGTCTAAATGATCTTGGTCGTTTACGAATCGAACAAAGATAATCTTGTTCAATATCTTCGATACTTTGCCTGCACCTTCTCCGATCTAGAAATGGATTTATTCGTGATCGCTATCCTCGATGAGAATTTCTAACAGAGTTCTAACAGAATCCGTGTACACATTTATCCTAAGTGGAAATAATCGATAGTGATAACAAGTTCAAATACCAAGGAAAGTTTGATTACAAAACCCGAATGAGATGCATATGTACGAAGTTTGGTCGTTCGTAAATTCAGAAATTCGACTGTGCCAGCCTATGAATATTTAAAAACATGCTAACATTTATTATTTTGATTGACAAGTATACACGCTCCTTTATTCGGAGAAATGAAACATAGATGCTTGTAAACTGTCGAGTCTATGTTCAATCGTTTCTTTTTTTATGGACGACCCGATCTTTTCAGATTGTAACATTTCAAACCCATTCGGTTGTAATCGAACAAATTTAGTGTTTGATCACAAAAATAGGCTCTGGATAGTATGCTTTTACATTGGAATATGACAATTGCCTTTATAGATATATCATATATGTATATATCTTACGATTTGATTGGTTTTCTTGCTTACAAACGAATGTTTTTGGAAGTTCACTGTAGGAGCGCAGAAATATCCCAAATTTTAATCAGACGATCCTGACCGATAGTTAATAGTCTTCGTCTCGGTGCATCGAGATCCATTCCAACAACGTTATGCTTCGCGTCATGGAAAGATGCTAAAGATGTTTGGCTACATAACAGATACGTGAAATCATACAAGTGAAATCACACTAACCGTTTGACCCTATTCATTTCATATAATATTACTCACTTTGTCCCTTTGAGTTGTATGTGGCATGGATCGCAAACTCTGACTTCAAATTCGAACCCCATTGCTGGTATTGCTATTCGTTGCGACGTGCAACGCGCGCATAATGCACGACCGCAATGACGACAATGATGCTGCCTTAATCCTAGTTGCCGTTGATCCATCATTGCTTTGATGTTCCAGAAAAACGGTCTTCCGCAGGCCTAAATAATCAATTGCGTTATGTATTAATTTAACTACGTTATACTAATATTATTACGTAACAAGCACGTACTTGGCACGTGCCCGATTCTGCCCATGCTGCTGTTTCCTTCCTGCTTGCACCCATGTCCCAACAAACTATGACCCCATCTTCTCCACCGGACAATAGAACGCGTTCAGCGCTTGCATAGCACAACGCTGTGACTTTGTTGCTACGAAATCAAATAGAAATTTGTAAAATACGTATTCAGGAGTTCTAGTAGCATATACGAGCTTGCTTACTGATGTCCCTGAAGCTCGTATGCCGTTCCCTGACGACCGCCGATATCCCATACTATGATACTTTGATCGAAACTTCCAGAAAACAAAAGTTGCTTCTCAGAATCCCATGCCAATGTGTGTATACTTCCTGTATGCGTTTTTAACGTAGTGATCAACGTGACGTTATTGGCCTCTAACTTTAACATTGCTATCTGTCCAGAATAATCACCGACAAAGGCATGCTTCGATTGAGCATCGAATCTGTGCAAGTTAAGGGAAGCATATTAACGTAAAATCTAAATGATTCCATAAGTTTACTATATATATTGTAAACGATTTTTCATAGAAAAGGATACTGCAGTGCAGTGTACCACGCGTCGGTCTGATAAGATCCCACTTTCTGACCAGTTTCCGAACAGTGTAACAGAAACATTTTATCTCGACCTATACTTAAAACCCATTCGGACTCTGGTGTAAATATAACGCCTGTGACTCTTGCTTGATGAGCTGAATATTCGCGCATGGCTGTCATTCGGTTGTAATCTTGTTCCAAAATGAATTCCTGGAAATAATATCTATCAAATACATTGTAAAGTGCATACACACTGTAGTGTTCTGTAAGTTATCTCCGTGTTACATACATTTATGGTTCCATTATCCAGGCCAACAAATAATTGTCTTGTCTCTACCGTGTAATGCATCGATGTTGCACCAGCAGCCATATATTGACAGACGCTTGGCCAATACTGTCCAGAATCACGTTTCAACCAAACTCTAACAGTCCTGTAAAAGTACATGACCTGATGAATTGTAAAGATTGCGACTGCTAACGATATTAAGAATATATAGCAAAATCAATTTACATGAACGACTTAAACAAACGTTTAAAAAGGCGCAGTACTATGATGATGAAAAGAATTTTTCCTAACTACCTGTCATCGCAAACGCTAATTACACCTTCTTCTCGCGGTATAATGATAGCCGCATTGACATCGTCGTTGCATCCTTCCAATTTCGACAAGAGTACGGGTTTACGACTTGTGCTGAATTTGTCATGATTTACACCTGGAGCGGGCTTTATCTCTGCTGCCATTTCAATCTTTCGAACGTATACTGCGAAGTGGGCTTGTCATTTGACAGTTGTCAGACTTCGATGATAAATCAACGTGTATGTGTTTCACGAAGACGGAAATTCCGATTTTTTCAGAGATTGTGGAGAACCTGACGGCGTTGCCTGTGTTATTTGACGCAAATCTTCCTTGCCTTCGTTGCATCCGACACCTCTTTATCGACTGTTTGTCGTTTTTCGTAGAAATTCCGCCTCTAACTAAGTTTCGTTAACCCTTCTGTTGCCAATACCATGGACAAACTTCGTCGCTGTGAATGATTCTTATATCATGTCTTTATCTATACATTACAATTTGTCGTTAACCCTTCCACCATTTTCTATCTCTTTTTACCATTTTGAAACTGCATCCGGTACATTATCGATAAGTATGAATTTTAGACCATAGGCGCTTGGACTTGAAATACGTAAAACGTATGATTTCTATAGTTATTTAACCAGTATATTATATTCCGAACAGTATTAATCGTTTTTTCGTTTTCGTAGAATATTTAGTAATATATTCTCTCTCTATCCTTTCTACGATACAAGATTATCATTAAAATAGTTATCGACTATCATTGCTGATAAATGTTCAGTATTTATCGGTGAGATGGAGCAATAGTGGGGGAAAATCGACGAAAATGACGTATCTCGTTAAATGTTGGTTTGTGTCACCCGAATTTGTTAGAAATTAATGAAGTATGGAGTGGAGTGTGAAATACGTTGTGATTACTTGAGACTGTCGATACCGATAATATTTATTAACTATTAAGTAGACATAATAACACCATGTCAGGCACGAAGGTATCAATCAATCTAATATGTATATGCGTTGTCTTCCAATTAAAAGGATTCGTTACAAAAGTTTAAATAAATAATGTTTTTTTATTAATGTTAGACTGATGCGAACAAAGACGACAATCTAAAGAGACAGGGTTCGTTCAGGAAACTGTTACCTTTAGACACAAATGGAGATTCTCAATTAAGCATGTCTGTAAAAATGATCGACAGACCTACCATTTCTCAAACCAATAAGGAATACTCAATCTACTTGCAAGAATATAATGTTTTATCTGAGTAGTAAGTGAATTTTACGGACATAGAAGTAAGAAAGGAGGTTTTAGCGAGAAGATAACGCAAAAGGCATTCTTTTAATTATTTTTTTTCGTAGTAAGATGTTGTGTTCCCAGGACTTAAAAGGCATTTATGTCGTACCATCAGCACAAAATTCTCTGTGTAAGTAACAAAAGATAGTTAGAAATTATTTGTTCTTCTGGATGGATTTCATGTATGGATCATGAGATCATGCGTTTCAATTATTTCAGCCAAATATAAATTGGTTCTTAGGTCTTGCTTATCCTGACTTCATCTTATATAGTGGTTTCCATGTAAATATGTGTATAATTCACTGTTTGTTGCATTTCCTTATATGTGCGAAAGCAACAAACATTTATTATATTCAATAGATATGTTTGTGTTCTGTTAGTATGGTTTGGTGTACAATTCGTTAGACAAGGAATCTACCAAGGAGGCATCTTCAGATTCACCATTACATTGCCACAAAATTTCCCAGATGGTGGTTGTCCTGTAAGGATTCTTTTCCTTGATATATAACATATACATTTCTGCGATCAGTTTGAACATATTCTTATAAAATTTTAGAGAGTTACATTTCAAACATCAGTTTTTCATCCTCTAATTGATCCTGAATCTGGAGAGTTGTGCACTTCCTGGGGGTTCACAGAATGGAGAAGAAGTAATAGAATATGGCAATTAGTACAATTTATAACTAAAATACTCAGCAAAGTTGACATTAAAATGACTCCTGTGAACCAGGAAGCATCTATGTTGTAAGTATATTAATTATTTGCTGCGCCAGCGAAAATAACGATTTATCGTAGTAAGCAATATTATCTCGTGTTCATTATAGATTAGAAAATAATTTTGAAGAGTTTCGTGATCGAGTTAAAAAATGCTTGAAAGAAAGTTTGGATAATGCTTACAATCCACCTATGGTGAACGATCCGCATTACATAGCTTTTGCTCGATATAATAGCGAACTTCATGACTCTGTTAAACAAGCCATTTACAAACCGAAGGTAAAATATCGATGTTCATATCCATATTTATCTTCTACATACAAGTTTTTTACGAAAAGGTTTGCTTAAACCAATTACATGATTTAGGAGGAAGAAGAAAATAAAACGTTGGGTTTATCTTGGGTGCAACCGGGTTCCCTACAGCCGTTCTCGAAGCCTGAAGCAAGATAACAAGTGGTTCAAATATTTATATTATATTGAAACAGTATACGTCCGCATGAGATAAAAATAACTATACGCAGTAACAGAGGGGATAAATAACATTGTATTTTTATATTAGTAGAAAGTAAAAGATACTATACGTATAATTATTAAATATTATGGTTTAAACATGGATATCTACCTTACAACATTTTAAATTTTCCGCGTTTTGTTCAATGGTCCATATAGCGTCATTACCTGTAGTGACAAAATGTTCGTATTGTAAGACAAATTTATCATCGGAGTAAAGAATATTTGGAAATGTATAGTAGCGCCATCTAATCTTTCAAAAAAGATTTGGTTTTAATTCTGTTTCAAAATTTTACCGCAAGCGGTGAAAATGACGCAGTTTTTAAATTTCCAAACTTATACATATAAGAAAACATTTTTTGCACGATACAGACATAGGAGAGTCTCCCGAACATCTCTGTACTCTCAAGATATTTTGTTCACCCTGAAATTGCTAGAATTCATCAAATATTTTGTACATACATTCTTCTGACACAAGAGGTTAGAATTAGTTCGAGCATTTACCGCCATGTGGTGTTAGCGTTTTGCGGTCCATATAAAAGAATGTACGTACTTTCATAATTATTTTTCCTACCAAGATTTTGGTTGCTATCAAGATTGGGACCAGAAGACTGCACTTTACAACAAGTGGATTGCGAATTGAAAATAATTATAGTAGCATAATGATAATCCAGAGAATTCATTTGGAAGATTATTGTATGGAAATGTTGGCACTGTGAACTGGCCATTAAATATATTTGCATGCGAGTGAGAAATACAAATACTTAATTATTTTAAATTTTAACCATGATCTGTAAAATTAACGACTATACGAATGATAGACAGCACACGATTGTATTTATTACTAAAGTTCACGATGAAATTCTCCACGATTTAGATCCAAAAGAATGGATGCGTACAAAGAACGAATGTGTTCTGTACACACATTGTACATACATACGCTATTAAAAATAGACAATGTATGTACTTGATCGATCAGGATTGAAATATTAATCGTAAGATTATGTAAAATTTTTCAATCGCTATCTCCATGGAACGAATAAAACTATGGATCTTTCGTGTTCATAGATATCGGTACACAAGGAAAAATTCACCAATGACAAGGGTTGCACAGTATTCCACACATGTATCGCGACGTCCCACGCATCGCGCGTGGTTTCTATAGGAAGTGGAGTTCTTTTCGCGCATCTTACGCGTTTTCCTGAAGGAAAATGGCTACCAGCTGTCATTTAATCGAGAAGTGTGGCTTTTAAAGTGACACAGAATTCTGTGAAAAGTCGTTGAACCACGTATAAAGACCGTTTAGCACGATGCAATTACATAACGTTAAAATCGTTTGGTAGATCGACGCCACTTTTCATCTACATGCGGAACCCGTGAACCTTCCACAGTGCCATGAAATTCTATTCCGCTTTACTGTTTACAGTTTTTGTTTTTCGACGAACGTATCGAGAGTAACGCAATAGAGTCACTTCCACATACTTTTAATAATTAAAACGTTTAATATTCGAATCGGACACATCGCATGAGCGTTAATCGACAATAGTAATCGTGCTACGTGTTAAGAGCCACAAACCTTTTCGACCTCACTCGCATTATTTTGGAGTGCGTGATCATTGCAAGAAACGGTAAAATATCGTTTATGAGTATTAAGCGCATGAACAAAAAAATATACATGTTATGCTTCACATTTGTCTCAGAGCCTGTAAACGATAAGTTTCTTATCTATTGAACGGTATATCTGTATTATTCTAGAGAAGCAGCATGGGTTCGAGCCAACAGTTCTCTCTTAGGTGGAATAATTATTTAAAGCACATCACCTGTGCGTTCGATACGTTACGGACAGAGGAAGATTTGGTCGATGTAACATTGAGCTGCGAAGGAAAGAGGATAAGAGCACATAAAATGCTTCTGTCCGCGTGTAGTACATATTTCAGGGATTTGTTTAAGGTAAATCGTAGTAACGAAGCTCTCTTATACGGCTATAGCTCGGTATATTGGAAACACATTTTTTATACCGTCCGATTTGCCATAGGAAAATCCATGCCAGCATCCAGTTATAATTTTCCGTAATGTAAAATTCGACGATTTGGCAGCATTGGTCGATTTCATGTATCAAGGGGAGGTGAACGTGGTTCAAGAACAATTAGCTAGCTTTCTAACTACAGCAGAATTATTGGCGGTACAAGGTCTAACGGATGGCACAGGAAAAGATAACGACAGTTTAGTGGAGGCACGTGTCTTTAAGTCGCATTCCCATGGAATCTTTGCCAGAGAAATGTTGCTAACGAAATCATGTTTGAAATCATGTTTTAGGATGATCTGGAAATTCCAAACGAGCCGGAAATTCAACTTCAGAATGCATCTAGTAAATCAACGGATAGCAAAAGGAACAAGTCGCCGTCGTCTCCTTTGCCTTATCACTCGGTTGATCTGCAACCCGATGCTCCGCCGAGTAAAAGACGAAAATGTCGAGAAAACGCGAACACGAACGCGGAAAAGACTGCTGGCAACGCCTTGGCCACGAAAGACACCGACAACAAATCGTCGGAAAATCAGACGTCGACCGGTTCCGATCCCGTTGAAATAATTCCCCTTATGCCGAACTTGAAGCTGGAAATGCCTGAATATTTAGTACAAGATGGAAGTAGCTGTAGTTACGAAGATCAGAGTTTAGGAGACAGTTCGTTAAATAAGATTGGTATAGAAGACACGTCGTCCAACACTCCCGACCACGACCAGAAGCCCGACATCAGTCAAACATTTTATTCGAGTAGTCAACCTACTTCGGATAATCTGGATCTCAAACACCAATCAGCGGATGTCGGTAAGAAGTACAATAGTGCGTATACAATTATAACGATTTAACAACCAATTTATTGCACTGTTCAGCGAAGTTTTCGTTTTCCTTCGCGTACCGATATCCAACGGATCGTTCTCCATCAGTCTCGGCTCGCTCGGAGACACACAAGCGTAACGGTTAAAAATTGAAAATTCGATTTGAATGTTTTAAACGGAAATCAGAATCACCGTTGGATAACCGGAACGCGAGAAAACGCGTAACATTTGTTGAACGGTGTTATACCGTAACGCTGCGACGCGTTCTAACATTGTAACTTTCTGTTCGAATTAGGACACCTACTTTCAAAACCTGGCACATCCGGGGAAAGACTAACGCAAGAAGCAGTGCAGGGTAAGTGTTTCTCAATCACTATTTTTCCCTGTGTCTGCAGAATGCAAACGCGATGCTTTGCCATATCTTTTATGATTCGGCGGCGACACTCTACCGGCAAAAACGTACTTTGACCAGGGAAACGAATTTCAAATTGATATCGCTGGTTATTGCAGTACCGGCGGCACGATCTAAAAGAAATGGCATGGCGGTGAACTTTAATGTTTTGTGCCCACGTATCGCGCCCGTTGGTATCTGTTCGATCGACAAATTTTCCGCGAACCTTTGGCTGGCGATCACAGTCGTTGCATCGCGTTACGTTACGTTACGTTACGTAGACGACGTTGTTTCCTTTGATTAAATTACGGTACCGAGATGCAGACGCAACTCGCGTGCGGCGCATTCGTTGACGTGGATGCAAAACAGTCCTTTTTCACACCTACATTTATACCAATATATAATTTTGGATTAGTTGAGTTTGATGACGATGAATTGTGCGGAATAGGAGGGAATTAGTTTCTTTGATCGATTCGAGGGGATAGTTGGCGTAAATCTCTAATATATAACGCGAATCGCACGTGAATTCATTACCGTATTGTGTACACATAGTAGAGTACAACAACGGCTATTCGAGTTATCCGCGGGCAAAATTTTGATCGAGTACATTGAGGAAGAGCATAAAAGCATCAACGGCGTTCGAACGTGTAGAAATCGAGTATTTCGTATTCGCTCGTAGTTAGACTCGATCGGTACAGAATATCACGGAAACGAGAGAAATTTTCCAAGGAGAGATCAGGATCCATTGGACGCGCGCGATAACGGCCCGCAGCTGCAATTCATCTGTTTCGTTCAGTTTTGTTGTTTTCATTTCGTTAGAATTTGTCACTTGTGGTAAAAATGCTAAGAAACGGCGACGTAAGATCGCGCGTCAATTTGAAACGATATATCGCGTCGGCATCGATGATTTGCGGCGCAAAAACGTCTTGACAAGAAATTTTGGAGAAATGCATTTCCTGCTGTGTTTATAGAAAGTCACTTTTTTTTTACGTCTATTAATCGTATATATATATATATAGTAACTGTACTATATAGCGAGTACAGAGTGCATGGTTTTTTGAAATGAACATATAATAATATGGTGTACAGGCACTCGGGGTGTAGGTTGAACCGTAGACATTAGCGAGCATTGCCAAGTGCTGTATGTGTGCCGACAATCATCTACATTCCTATAATAACTCAAAAAAAAAAAAACAACAAAGCCACCTATCATTTATACTCCTTATTGCGCACTAACTTGTAAGCATACTCTTTCTGTATACACTAAAAAAAAAAAAAACACTCTTCTACTCCGCTGGTAACGGGTGATTTTTTACTTCCGCAAGAACCGTAGAACTGTACAGGGCAAATATTCGATCGCGCGCGTGTGCAATATCACTATCGCACATGCCGCGTCGCTTGCATGCAAAGTTAATCTTAAGATCGCTGTACGAAACGCGAACCACGCCCCGTGCACGGGTCGCGCGGGGACAATTTGTTTATTTCGATAATCGTTTTTATCTCTTCGTCCGCACGTATACGCAGCGGGATATAGTCGTGTCGTTGAGGCACGAGGACCGCTGTCCTCGATCGTGTCAGATGTTAAGATTAACTTGCAAACCATATCCACGACATTGATTGTTGTTAGACAAATCTTGTAGCCTTGCAAGACGACTAATTTATTTGACGTAGCAACGGTGATGGTGCTGTCGAGTATAGTATAGCATGTACACGGTTCTTCTTCTATATACTTTTTTAATACCTCTCTCTCTGTGTGTATACTTATCCTTTCTTCTCGTTGTGCATCGCGGAACTTGGAAAGATCCGACAATAATGGGTGCGCGGAAATCTGATATTCAGGTCGAATCGATACAAAAACGCTTCCGCATAGAACCGGACAGACGCGGTGTCATTTTTCCAACGAATTCGAACCGCTCCGGCGTTGACTAAGCCGCTGTCAAGCCGTTAAATCGATAGAGAGCGACAGACACGCTCGGTCTTTCGTATGTACACGCGATCGCGCAATCATCTTTACTTTCGATTCCCGAAAGCCACGGCGCGATCGCCTAGCGATAACTAGCGATAACAAGCGACAACGCGACCCGATCCGAGAATTCGTTTGTTTCGAAGTTAGACAAGAATTCTGGCAGGCAGGGCGAGGCTAGGCGTAAAGCAGAACATCCTCTCTCACGTCGATCGTTGCTGCCCGTTTCAAGCACAGGAGCACGCCAGAATCGATCGATGCGTTTATCCGCAGGATCGCTGGAACGCCAAGTATCCTCGATGCGTTTTCCTTTCGATTCCCTTCCGTTTTCTCTCTCTCTCTCTCTCTCTCTCTCTCTCTCTCTCTCTCTCTCTTTCTCTTCCTTCTTCTTTTTCTCTTTCTCTTTCTCTCTCTCTCTCTCTCTCTTTCTTTCTCTACGAGAAACGAACGAAAACTGTAAGCCGAGTGCTGCTGAGTTAACCATGTAAACGGAAGCGAGATCGAGCAAAATTGGATCGACCGATCGCTCGACACCGATCATTCGACGGTCGCGAGCGCTGCGTGCTCGAAATTTAGCAGCCGAAAGTGAGAACCGAAAGAAACCCGGAGAGTGTTGAATCTTTTAACCCTTTGCCCTACAACCACGTGTGTGGCACGTGGTCACAGATAATCGGGTCAGAAATGATTACCACGGGTGGTTGGTGAGAGTCGCGTGGTGCGTCGGTCGGGCCAAATCGAAACGACACGAGTCAACGGAGCTCGTGTTAGTATATAGGGGATACGTGTTTTGGGGCTACCCTGTTATGAGAAAATATCTATGAAAGGATACCGACAAAATTTTCTTTTGTGTGTTCGATATTTGCACTTTTTAATTCGTACATATCTTGTTCGACAAGATCAATTATGAAAAGAAATTCAGTTACGTTAAATCTAGAATCGAAACAGCCGAATCATTACTAAAAATCTACCATTACCAGACTGTAAAGGACGAGGACAATTAGCGACCGAAGATTTACCACAGAGACTGCACGCGAAACATTGGGGTCACTTTCCCAAGCATATTGACCCGACACCATCGAAATCAAAGCCAGCAAGAGTCTGTAAAGTTTGCACGAGACATAAAAAACGTAGCGAAACAACGTGGGAGTGCAAAATCTGTAAAGTCCCATTGCATGTGCCGAAATGCTTCGAAAGTTACCACACGGTTGAGGACTATTGATTTACTGTAAACTATTATTAATTGGAATTAAATACTTGTTATAACTTACAAAATTATAAAACTATCAAAGCTTATTAAATAAATCTTTCCTGTTCACTAAAATGATTCGTTCGTAATTATTTATCGAAACACCTTAACAAAATTCAACCAGTTTTACCTTAAACATGTATTTACCGTTCCGTAAGACGTGTGCGATTGGCACACTTCTCTTCAGACTTGTCTAGCCCAACCGTGAAAAGGCTCGACGCCTGACCGACCTTTTCTTGTTGTTCGTGGCACACGTCATTGAAACTTGAATATCGTAGGGCAAAGGGTTAACCATGTAAACGGAAGCGAGATCGACCGATCTCGTTCGACGATCGCGAGCGCTGCGTGTTCGAAATTTAGCGACCGGCGAGAACCGACAGAAGTCCGCGGAGAGTGTTCATTCGATCTTTCGAATCGTAAGCCAACGTACGATCTTCGAATGGACGAGATCATCATCCCCGAACAGGCGGATGGATCGCCGCTCGATCCTTAACCCGAAGGGAGGTTCTTGAAACGACGAGGACGACGACGACGACGACGACGATCCTAGGTGTCGTCGAAGGTCGCGTGAACATTGACGTTGGAACACCGAGTCGGTCAGAGTTGAAACGCAGAGACACGTGACCAACGTTCCATTCGGATACAGGCGAATATCTCCGAGACGATCGGAAGAGGTGGCAAATTGTGAGAGTGAAAGTATTCACGGATCGATCTCGGTTCGCCACGCTGCAAATCGGTTCTAACCGAATCGCTGGTTAGTGAGTCGGTTGTTGCAAGTTCGTTGTTGCAAATCGATTGCGATTGGCGAGCAACTTGTGGGCGGGTCACGGGCAAGGGGAGGGACCGAACGGAGAAGAAGGCGGACGATTTCGTGATTCGGGAACGGAGCGGAGAGGTTAGCGAGCTCGCGAGACCGACGAGAGACCGAACGAGAGAAAAGAGAGAACACGACCGTGCGAGAGGGCTTCTTCGGGTTCACACGTCTCTGAACATCTGTGAATCTTCGGTGCTATGTTTCTCCGCCTGCAACACACGCGTATATATACGGTAAATTCTCTCAAATTGTCCTCTTCAGCCTGTAAACAAGAATCGAGCGGTTCATTTTGAAAGTGGCATAAGTCGCTTTACCGTGATGAAAAGTGGTGATTTTTTCATGTTTATACGAAATTATTTATACCGAGAAAAATATCAGTATCCTGAGATATAACAAATACAAGTAAATCTTCTCGGAAGTTAGCGTCCATATTTTTAAACGTGTTAGAACGCAAACCCTTAAATAATATATCGACTTAAAANCGGAAGAGGTGGCAAATTGTGAGAGTGAAAGTATTCACGGATCGATCTCGGTTCGCCACGCTGCAAATCGGTTCTAACCGAATCGCTGGTTAGTGAGTCGGTTGTTGCAAGTTCGTTGTTGCAAATCGATTGCGATTGGCGAGCAACTTGTGGGCGGGTCACGGGCAAGGGGAGGGACCGAACGGAGAAGAAGGCGGACGATTTCGTGATTCGGGAACGGAGCGGAGAGGTTAGCGAGCTCGCGAGACCGACGAGAGACCGAACGAGAGAAAAGAGAGAACACGACCGTGCGAGAGGGCTTCTTCGGGTTCACACGTCTCTGAACATCTGTGAATCTTCGGTGCTATGTTTCTCCGCCTGCAACACACGCGTATATATACGGTAAATTCTCTCAAATTGTCCTCTTCAGCCTGTAAACAAGAATCGAGCGGTTCATTTTGAAAGTGGCATAAGTCGCTT